CAACTTTTGCCTCGGATTCTTACTCCTTAATGTTTGCCTCTACCTACCTACCTACCTACCCCCTGCCGTCTTTTCTCTCGCTCTCTCGGTGCAGATAAGTAAAACGACACCGAGTACTGGTGTTATTTATACAAGTACGCAGTGTTTTACGAATTAGATTGCGGTTGTTATGGCAGTAGCCTAGCCCGCATTAGTAGAAGAAGCAGGAGCTCTGGGGGAAGGGGGGAGGTGAAAAGTTTGAAAGTAGAGCAGCAAGAATTTTCGAGTAATTATGAATTTCGTGACCTCTACATGTATAAACGTACAAGGCCTAGCCTGCTGTCAGACAAGTGTGCGCGGGTATACACAGAGAAAGCTAAAACTTATACTCGCAGTGTTCACAGCGGCGGCGGTGGTGGCGGCGGCAGGGCTCTGATAATTTTTAAGACGAAGAGCCGTGTTAATTATTACGAGAGTTTGCGAAAGGAGCATGATTAATCGTAAAAAAGACTTGCAGCTCGCGCGCTGCGCGTACCGGAGCCGCGTGCAGGATCGCGGGAGAGAGAGAGAAAGAGAGAGAGAGACGTTATGTAGGAAGCTCGTGCGGCTATATACGAGAAATTAAAATTAATCGCGGCAGCTCGCTGCTGCCCGCACCCCAGGTAAAACTGCAACTCGGGAGTAAAGATAGACGCGCGTATAATCGTGGCGGGGGAAATTGAATTTTCGACAATCCTTTAATTGTCAAACTTCGCTGATAATTGAATCTTGCGCAAGCAGGTTATTAAAAAAATATCCATCGCTGTGCGGTGCAGTTTCTTTTTTGCTTTCCTCCTCCACCGCCGCCGCCACCGCAGCTGCACGCTTATCGCGCCAACATTGCGCTGACTTTTTCAACGGTAGTCGCTCGCCTGTGGTTCGCCAGCGTTAAAAATTAATGTTAAGTAGTACGAGTATATCACCGGCCAGACCGGACTGTATATACTTATCGCGTCTTTTCCTATATATATAATATAAAATGACTGTATCAGCGCCGCGCTTAATCATGCGCCGCTGCGCACTTGCGTATGATAATGAATAAAAAAAAAAGGACGTATAGAACTTGGGGCGCGAAACAAAAAAATTAACGTCCTCGAGAGCACGCGGCGAAATGTCCGCGGCCGCCTTTTCGACCATTAATCTTTTTTTCCCACCTTTTACGATATATACTACCGGCCGCCCTTGCTGCAGGAGCGAAGCTTGCACTTTCTATCTTCTTTTATACATACAAACGCTGCTGCTGTATGCGTACATGGGTTGCTGCTGCTTTTCTTGGGTCTATCGTAAATACGCGGCTGCGGCGGCTGCGGCGGCGGCGACGTCGGCGGGCATCTTCCTTTTTTCGCACTCGACCACATATTTCTTTTATATTCTCATCTCGAGGCGTTCGTGGGGAAAGTATATATAAGCGAGAGTAGTGGGTGATGTATATACAGCAGAAGCAACACACATAAAAAAGCTTAAAAAAAAAAATCGCGAACAGTCCTTATCTCGGCTGTATTATATATACGCGCGCGCACAGCAGCAGCAGCAGCGTCGTCGTGTCGGCTGCAATAGTTATTTTTCGCGCGGCTCTTCTTTTTCACCCTCGGCATCGCTGCTGCTGCTACGATGACGACTTCATTTGATATCTAATGCTCATATTGTTCTCCGAGCTGTGTTTTCTTTGTTCCTGCGCGCGCTCGCCTTCGAACTTATAATCAAAGAGTATGGCAAAGAGTTTGGCGACGAGAAAGAGAGAGAGAGAGAGAACTCGTCATTTGGAAGTTTTGTTTTCGAAGGCTCTTTCCGATCTGTTATATATACATACTTTTATGTATACATAGAGTCGATGAAGAGGACGAGCACAGTTTTCTTCTCCATTCCTTTTTTTTTTGCCTCTTCTTCGTCGTCTTCCTCTTGTCTTGACTGCGCGTACTTTAGGGAGGAAGCCCCGATGTCATTGACAAAAGAGAGAGAAGAGGAACGACGAGACGAGAAACATTAATGAGTGCGCGAGCTTCGGGAGAGAGAGGCTTCGGCCGTCCACGAGCGAGGAGGAGGAGGAGGCGCGCGTCGAGGAAAAGAAAAGAAGAGCTATCGCGCGCGGCAAAGAAACGATTGTTCCTGACTGCGCGAGCGATGAGGTATTACACGATGGGTATTATTATATATAAAAAAGATGAGAGGGAGGCGCAGCCCAAAGAGGTGTATATATTCCACAGTTTGACCTGTCCAAAGTTGCAAAGAAGCAGAAGCAGCTTCAGTCAGTCTCTCGCGCTAGTAGTACTAGTACTAGTATTCTGTTAATACAGTTGTGAAAAGTTGAGAGAGAGAAGTAGGATGGTGTAGTAGGGCTACTGCACAAGAGCAAAAAGCTCATGCCTATGTCTGTGTGTGTGTGTGCCAATGTGCTCTAGCTATTACCTTCCCTCTCTCCCTCCTCCTCTCTCTGCTGGAACTCTGGAAGTTTTGAGGGAAAATTTTACTTTCGTAAGCCCTCTTTATTGCTTTCTCGTGCTCTCTCTCTCTCTCTCTCTCTCCGTATACGTACTACACCTACCTTCCTACACGTACATATATATACGCGCGAAGGCTCGGCGCGCGCGAGCCAGCGAGTGTCTAACCGGTTCGGTCGCTTATCTACTTGAGCATTCCTTGCTCTGGCAGTTATGGGCCGACTGGGAAAAATCTTTCTCTCGCCTACACACACACACACACACACACACACACACACAGACACATATATATTACTATAGCCTGCAAGTTAAAATCTACTTTTTTACATTATATTCGAACGTTTATACAGCCCTATATAGTAACGTTCACCTCAGAGAGGAGCTCAGGGGGTCAAGTATCGAAACTTGCTCCACTTACACTTTTTCTTCTTCTTCTTCTTCTTTTGAATGGCCCGCAAACCGAATTTATATACTCGTTAAAAAAAGGAAAAAAAATCGCGGTCTCTTCTAGCCCAGGTCGATAAAAATCGCACACATGCCGTGATATAGTTCATATCCAGCGATTGAATAGGTCCTTTATCGCTGTCCACGTAACTACGTACTCGCGTATACAATAATAATAATAATATATAACGTCCGAGGGAGGCGCGCAACAGCAGTAGCAGCAGCAGCTAACTTGCGGCGAATATCTTCATTCTCGGCCTCTCGGAAATTAACCCCGAGGAAATAAATATAATACACCCGAGCAAAACAAGCATCGCTCTGTACCGGTGTGTGTGTGCGCGAGTCTATACACAAGTACACGCGACTCAGCTGCAGAGACTACCACCAGTACTACTACTACTACTCGCCTGTATGTATACAGAGACCCTAACGCACATTAAATCTACATTAAAGCCTGAGGGTTTCTGCGCCGTATATACGCGCGGCAGAGACATCTCCGGGGCTCGTTCGCCTGTATCGTGTATGGAACGAGAGTATGATTTCACATATATATATACAGGCACACGCAACGCTTCACTGTACATATAGTAGTACAGCTCGAGCTGTGTATTACACATCCCTCATACGTTATGAAATTCGCTTTCTCGCTGCTATATGCCTATTATCGTCACTGACGGCTATATACATACCACCCACGCATTCAGAGAGAGAGAGAGAGAGTAGCTCAGTAAAACGAGAGGGGGGGAGAGAGAGAGGCAGAGATAGGGCCAAGTCTGTTAATTACCGTAATAAGTTGCGTATATAGGCGGTTACGACGACGACGACGACGCCACAATGTCTTGTGTCTGCGGATGATAAGCTCGAGCTCGCTCTCTCTCTGCTCTGTATACGCACATAATGGCGCGTTGGCTTTCGACGGTATACAAGAGTCACGCATACGCACTTGGGCTTTGTGTATGCGTGTACATAAATGCCGTCTTTTGATCTTTTGTACTTCATTCGCCGAGCTTGCACAAAAAAAACCTTATTGCCGAGTGGCTCAGCTACACTCACTCACGCCGTATAAGAGAGATAGAGAGACGGAGCGCGCGGAAGATTTTATCGTGCCGGACGACGACGACGACGTCGACGACTCGATCCATGGTTTGGGGTAATGCTCGCGCGATTCGTTTGTATGAATCTGCGTTTATACAGCCCTACCACTACTACTATATATATCGTACGAAGGGTGACTCGCACTTCAATTTAAAAAGATCTCTCTCGTCGTCGTCGCGCGCGCGCGAATCGAAAAGCTTTTCTTTCTCTTCTTTTTTTTTTCATTCTGCTACTGCCCCTCGCGCCACATAGCCGTGGCTCTCTCTTGTGTTTTTACGACGGAATTAGCCAAACTGATTGAAACTCGCAAATAGCCCCGCCGTTTAATGATATACGTACATAGCTATAGGACGCGGTGAGAAATAAAAATTTATAACTCTCGGATCTATGTGTGTGTGAGCGTCGGCCGCGCGACGAGAGAATCCTTTTGTGGGCGGATAACTTAATTAACAGCTTTTTTTTTAGCGAAGCTCTCTTCGCGCGCACTGCAACCGCACCGACGCCGCTATACTCCGCCGCCTCGTTCAATTTATTTTCCTAATACCGCAATGTAGTATATACTATCCGACGAGCTCGTCGTCGTCGTCGTCGTCGTCCCGCGCCGAGCGCCACACGCAGTCGTAGACGCCGCTGCCGGTGTTGCAGTTACGACGTCGCGCGCAGTAATCTTCTTTTCCAAGATTGCTTAATTAAAAGAAATTCATTCGACCCCGAGAGCTTGCGAGAGAGAGAGAGAAAGAGAGAGTAAGAAGGGCAGGCAAGGTTTTATATACGTAGCGAGTAGTAGACTCGGAGATCGGATTCCGACACGATCGGAATGATTTCTTTTTTCTTTTGCTCCCCTTCTATTCTTAAAGGCCGACGCGATTTTTTACTTTTGATATTTGATATCGAGGATATTTCATACTTACCTATACCGAACTTTTATAATCCTCTTTCTATTTTTTAATTCTCTTTCTGCGTCGATGAGAAATTTCATTAACGACCTTTTTTTCTGCTTTGCAGTTCCAGATGAGGAATTCCAGCTGCACGTGGAGCCGAGTACACAGAACGAAGAGAAAAACAACGACGACGACGAAGGTATGTTACGTATACGACTGTGCAGCCGAGTAGTCGAGTCAATTTTACCTTATTACAGAATTAACGTGCTGTTTCACTTTTTTAACAGACGAAGAAAATAGCGACGATACGGACGAGGAGGAAGAAGCGGCCGAGAGCAGATTCGAAGAGTCGAGTTTCGATTTCATGGACTTTATGCGGAGGTATGCAAACTCGTATCTATATTGATCTAATACTTTTTTTTCGTCGTCGTCGTCTTTTTCTTCATCTTCACGCGTCACTGCATCCGACAACTTCGACGACGACTACTACATGCCGCATATTTTTGAATAAATTTCCAGATTCTGCAACGTGCGAGTGGTCATGAATCTGACCCTGCTCTTTCAAACTTTCGATAAAAACACGCCCGAGCTGAATCACTACGTGCTGAAGATGTTCCATCGAATCGCCCACGACTGCAAGATGCCCGGCATGATCTACCAGGCCTCGATCTTTCGGGTGTTGCAGCGCGTATTCGCCTCGGATAAACGCGAGCACAAGGTAAGGGCAGTGTTCTCTTATATGTAAAGGCCGCGTTGAAAAACAAATTTACCCTCGGCGGGGGAAAATTCAAATTTCATCAAACTGTACGAAACAAAGTGTACGAGTCTTCTTTTTCTTTCGTTTTTTTTACCTCAATCAGGCTAAACTCAATTCAACTTTTTTATACGTGCGCGCGCGCCGGGCGCACAATCTTATATAACCGACTAATGAAAAAGTCGAGGCCTAGTAGTAGCCCTCGTTTGCGCTCGTAAAGAACTTAAAATATACGCCATAAGCTACTTCTGCGCTCTACATACGTAAGCGCGTGTGTGTGTGTGTGCTTAAACTGGGAAACTTTTCATTTTATGCCTTTATTCTCTGTCTCGCTCATTGCTCTGCTTTGCTCTCTGTGTTTTACCCCTGGTCCTGGGTATACATAAAGGATTTAGCGGCGTTCGGGCGCTTCGTAATCCGCGGCTTCGCTGAAGTGGCCCAGCGCAATCCCAAGGCCTACATGGAGCTGCTGTTCTGGAAGGGCACCAAGCAAGCCACGGAAATGACCGATGGCTACGACTGCGAGCACGCCACGGGTGGCAAAAAGTCCAAGAAAAACGTCTGGACCGACGCCGAGGAGGACGAGCTGCGCACCCTCTTCATGGAGCACGAGACTCAGAAAATTCCACGAGGTAAGTGTATTATAATGTCCAGTGGTATTATGCCGTGATATCGAAGCTATAGAGATTGAAGGAAAATTGTTGAAATTAAAAACTCATTATTGGCACAGCCTTTATGGATTATTCGACGTATTAGCATTTAATTGAAAAATTTAGATATGGAAATCTGATGTAATTTATAAAACTCGAATAACTCAATTTTCAATTTATTACAGACTTGATTGAATACATCATGGAGAATTTAATAAATCAAGATCGCACGAGGCGCGGAGTCATCAAGAAATTGAAGGAGCTGCATCTGATCGTTAATTCGAAAGTAAGTGACCCTAATCGATCCATCTTTTTTTGTTTTTTTTTTACTTTTTTTTTTAAACTGCAGATTTTTGATCGACCAAAAACTAGGGTTCGCTCTACTCTTTTCGCGGGCGCGCGTGAAAAAAAATAAGTTTAGTCGAGAAAGAAAAAAACGAAGAATCGACTTCACGGGCAATTGCAACGAAAAGCGTATAAGGTCGAGTAGTAGAAGTAGTAGTAGTACAGCTCGACGTGTATGCGTTTGTTGATCTTTTTTTCTCTCTCTCTCTTTCTCTGTTCCTCGCATTCGGTCGAACTTTTCCCATCGGGGGCGAGCTGTACTGCTGCTGCTGCTGCTACCGCTGCTGCGCATGCAACGATGATTTACGAGGATCCTGCCAACTTCTGTATAAGATAGCTAACCTTATAGAAACGACGACATGTGTATACAACGAAATACCTCGTGGGATTTTCGACTCTCTGCGCGTTCGTGTACCTAAGATTACACACACACACATACACACGTATATTATATACGTTTACACGTATGCATGTGTATGTGTTTGTGCGTTTTTTTTGCGTTTCACAGATATAAGTATATACGCATTGCTCCCACATCACCGAAGTAAAAATGTGTAACGTTTTTCTCATTTCTCTTCAATTTATCTGCAAGTTTGATTTTTCTCGTTGATTTTTTTTCTCGCAACTTTCGTTTGCTCCACTATAAAAATTGATCTCCAGCCTTCGTATTATGTTTTCTTTTTTTAACGCTACAATAAGTCTTGCACAATATAACGACCTTATCCTTTTTTTATTATATTTTTACAGGGCGTAAGAGCCGAGGTAGCTAAGAGATTGCCCAAGGAATGGTCGCAGGACGAAATAGCCCATTTAACTACTTTGGTGGAGCAGATGAGAAACGAGGATGGCTCGTTCGAGTGCGAGGATCCGCTGCAGGATCTGCACGACGGCCTGATCATCAAACGGCCCAAGAACAAGATTAAGGAGAAGCTGCTGCAGCTCGGCCTCGTCGATGATCCGAAACAATTGCGTAAAAGGCGAATAAAAAAAAGCGACGGTACGGAGTATTATGGAGTCGTTTGGCATACCAGTCCCGTATAAAAATATAAAAACAAAAAAGGGAAGGAATTCGCAGGTTCCACATACGCGGTTGGGACTGCGAGAGAGAGCGCTATAAATGCATTAAAAGTTTCTCATTTAAAAAAATCGCATCGCACGCGGATAGGCACACACCTAGATCATTTATACCTGTACCATAGGAGTACAGCCCGGGCAAAAATAAAAACGCGTACAAAAGTCAATTAACTCTCTTAAATCTTGCCAAACTGAATTAATCTCTCTCGTCCCCTCTGTTTCTCGGGTGAAAAGTGCGCACGTGCGCTGTTGCTCGTGCTGTTTCTCTATATACGCGCACTCTGTATGCGCGAATAATAAAGGTTCTCTCGCGATGCTTTGTGTGGCGCCGTCATTATTACGTATGCGTGAGTGCCTTTGTTTCTCTCGATGCACACAATATAGAATAAGGGATCAAAACGAGGAGAGGAGGGATGTCATCAAACTCACTCTCTTTCTCTCTGCGTATGTGTATGAACGTGCATTATATGTGCAGTATGCGCCCCGGCTTTGAGCTCCATACAGGGTATAGTGCGATGTTATAATACTGAAACTGTCGAAACGCCTCGCGCCGCACGCGATTAATATAATCTCTTCCTTTCTCTCTGTCGTGCGCGTGCGATAGAGGCTGTGTGACTGCCTCGTGTATTTGTATGGTCTGAAAAAACCTCGGATGTTGTGCTCGAAAATTTTTGGAAAACAACCGCTCGCTTTTTATTGTATTTGTATATATCGAGCAGCCGTATAGCATCGTGGATTAATGTCATTTCGCTTCGTGTTCTCTGTGCGCAACAAAATTATGTTTCAATCTCGAAGCCCCTCGCGCAAGTGTTCAGCTTTGATTTCAATTTCTTTCTTTATTTATTTTTTTTTTTCAAACTCCACGCAGCGGTGGTGCGGAGATAAACGACCGTCAAAAGCACAAATTGGCGCGCATCAATTACGTAAACATCAAATTTGCATGAATGATTAAAGTACCTGTGTGCTGCGCTAACGATAATGTATTATCTTCCTTTTTGCATAATTAGCTCTCTACGCTGCAGCAGCAGCACCACCACCAGAGCATGTACTTCATATTCATGATTGCGCGCGCGCTCGCTCTCGCGAGCCTTCGATTTTAATATTCTATATTACACTTGCTCCGAGTCATCGTATTACAATATATCTTAAAAGTTGTGCAACTACGCGCGCACCCTTGAAACGCACACACTCGAATGTCAAAGCTGCTCCAGTGCAGCTTACGAAATTTATTGTACCTCTGCACTTTCTTACTTTTGCGTGTTTTTTTTATACTCTATCGATGATACATACATATATCTCTTTACATTCTGCTTTGATACGAATCGACGTAATAGTGAAAAAGGAAAAATATTCACCTTTAATCGCGAGTATATGCAACCTCTCGACGAGTGAGGAAAAAGATACATCATTTCGAATATCTCCATTTCTTACGTAATGCCCGTATGTAAATAAAGCTCGTATTACACACGCAGTGCAGTGCAAAGCTCCATTTCTTTCCTTCTTTTTTCATTTCTCTTTCCATTGCACAATGCATCGTTTCTCTGCTTTTTGCGTACGTGTGCAAGAGAGCTTTATGTTCATAAAAATTGTTTTCGCTCTTGCTTGATTTTTTCCTTCTGTTGTACGCGTTTATTTTTTTTTCTTCTTCTTTTTTCTTGTCTACGCTGTGCATCTCTACACAAGACGCTTTGAAGTCGAGTGCATCGTTTCCGCCAGTAATTTTCTTTTGATCGATCATGCCCTTTAATGCGCGTGTATATACGCTGTTATACGTGTGTTGGTGCCTGTGCGGGCGCGTACTCGTGATTTCGATTGGATTGCGACGTAAATAATTGGAAAGGATATACGCTGCAGGATCTGCCTGAGATCCGTGTCGTTTATTTATTTATTTTATTTTTATTTTTTTTTCGCCAGCTGAATTTTGATATCGCGATTTTTCTTCTTCGTTGTCGCTCTCTCCTTTGTGTATTTTTTGTCACAAACAACAGGGTACATTTGTCACGCGCCGAATTGTAGGAAAAGCAAACGAGAGACAGAGAGAGTCAGAGAGGGATTCGCAACGTATATTTATCGAAAAATATTCAAGTAGCTCGAAGCTTGAAGAATAATTGCTCTTGCTTCGCTCGTATCGCAAATTGAATTTTATTTTGATTGGTGTGTGAAATAATTCAATATTGCGGATGAAAAAATTACGACCGATGCTATTGCTATAACGAATTCAAATGCTCGCGAATAATTTATAATAATTTTATCTTTTACGCATGCACCGTTGGATGAAAGTTATGAAAAAATTTTCATAACTCAGCGAGTTGATATGAAGTTTTATTTAGTGAATATTGTCATGGGTAAGCAAAAATCAGTTTGCGCTCGAAGCTTCTGGTTTGCTTATTTTAGAAAAAATTAGTTTCTGGCATATAATACGTGGAATTCAGAAAGTATATTTTGATTTTTTTATTGCTGCTAAATCTGCTGCCGAGAGAGTCGTGTCTTTAAATAACAGTTCGACTCTCGACGCGTCCCAGCAAAGTCAGTCCCTATCCTAAAGTGCCAAATCCCACCAAACTCTTTTAGCTTTACTCTGCTTAATCCTTTGGACTTGAATGCTAATGAGCTTTTCGTCTACGTTAAAGGTCCAAAATCATCGTGGGAAACCCGCTCGGCGAGCGAATCGGGCTCCGGCTCGGATTCGTCGGATTCTGACGCTTCTGGCACTTCTGATAACGACGCGGATCGACGCAAAAAGAGAAAAGAAAAATCGAAAAGCAAGTCGAAGCGGCCCACTTATGTTTACACCGACGCTCAGCTCTCCGGATTACTCAAGGATGTGATTGCCAAGGGTAATAAATATTATTTCAATTAATTTTTCGGACAATTAAAACAAGCTTTTCAATTTTAAATTTTGTTTCCCTAGACATGAAGGAAGCTCTCGTCTGGCTGAAAGAAAATTTAGAAGAATCATTAGAGGACAGAGACGAGGAGGACGTGGAGGGCACAGCTTTGGTGCCTATCAGCCAGGATGTAGCTGAAATTTTAGATTCTGCGTCGTTCCAGCGATTTATGCGCGCTGCGGGTATCGAGGAGCCGGGCCCCGAGGAGTCTTATTGGCGCATTCCTGTATCTTTACTGCCTGGGACGATTAAAAGACGCTGCGAACTCATCGATGCGGCTCTCCGGGGAGAATTTATGGAAGAACGTAAGGAAAAAAAAATTCATCTGAAAGAGCTTACTTCGCAAAATTGATTGAATAAATTTGAAAAATTTCAATTTCATTTTTTTAACAGCGGTTGTCGCTAGTAGACGCGTCGAGTCGGACGACGAGGACGACGTCTTCGAGAGATTGAGAAATTATTCCAACAAGCAAAACGAGGCTGCGGCCGCGGCTGCGGCAGCCGGAGGCTCGCCATCCACGCCACAGCAGAGCAATCGCGACAATCGTAGTCGAAGTCCCAGCCCCGAGCAAAGCTCGACGCAAAAGAGCCGGACGCCCGGTACGAGCCGAAAGAAAACTCCTCGCTCGACGAAGCGCTCGAAAAAGAAGACCCCCGCCGGTCCGAGAACGTTCGGCGAAAGTAGCGACAGCGACGGCGGCGATGCACCGAGTTCCAGTCGTAATGGCCAAGAGAATCGTGATTTGAATTCCGATAAGGAAAATGATGTTAATGGCCGTCGTTCCAGTGGTATGAATCACATTATCTGTAATCTGTAATCGAGTGGGAACTCGATTTCGCGAGAGCTCATGATATATATTTTTCCAGATGAAGAACAACAAAGTACTTCTACGCAAGCTCGTAATACGGCGCAAAAGAGCAAATCAAAAGTAAAATCTGTAAAAACTTTCCTCGACTCGGACACATCTGACGAAGATGAAGGTGTTGATACAGTGGCAGAAAAAAGTAGCCAAGCTCAAGGTATAAAATACACTTACATCATTTCTTATCAACTTTCTTACTTCTTTTTCGCACTTCATGAGATGCCAATTTTATTATTATTTAAGGTTCCATTAATAAATCAAAGTCAATTCTCAATTTCGACTCAGATGATAGTGAAAAAATGGAAATTCAAAATGAAGCCAAGACGATGAGCCAGTCGGCAAACGAGAAAAGTACTAATTCCAGTCGCCACAGAATAAATTTACTCTCTGAGAGCGAAGAAGATGAAGAAGTACCTCAGAACATAGATGATGCATCAAGTAAGTTTTGAATTTTACTTTTGCTTTACTTTTAATACATTTTTCCCCTTTGTGCTTGACATAATAACTAATTTTTTTCTCTCAATAATCAACCATTTATTTATTTTTTTTATTTCTAGCCGAAGCCAAACGCATTCGGTCGGATAATTCCGACAGCGAGACACCGCTGCAGAAAAAGCGTCGCATTCTAGAGAGCGACGAGGACGAAGAGGAAGAGAAAAGTTCAACGGCAATAAGTAAGAAAACAGCCCTTGTATTGAGCGACGACGAGGATTAAGTGAAATTCATACGATTCACCGTATAATCGTCCCTTTTATTTGCTGATCGAAAGAAGAAGTCGTTTCAAAAGATAATCTACGCGGAGTGGCGTTCGTTTGCGAGTGCTTACAGTATATAGACCCAGTTAGCGAAGTTTCCTGTTAGTGCTGCCATCTCCTGATCACGGGGAAAAAATATCAATGGCTAACCTTTGTTTGTTAAATAATTATTATAAACTTTTTGTACCAGAAATCTTTCTTTCATAACATTTTTTTACTACTATTTGTTGTAACGATATGAACATTTTTGTAATACCTTCTTGGTAATTTTGATGACTACTAAACGTTTTTCGCGTGATATTGTTACGTTTGATTCATGTTACTCTTAAATCTTTAGATACTTATTGATCAAGGACGATTTATTATTAACAATTAAGAACAATTGCATGAGTGTGCCCACATTTTGTTTAAAAAAACTACAAATATGTTCTAATTAATTATGAATCTGTTATTGAATAAAGCTAAACAGCACCAGAATTTTTGTATCTCAAAAACATCGACTTCTATCTCTCACCGATAGGTACGTATCTATAAGCACAGTAGTAGCTTAGTAGTAGTAGTAGCAGCAGCAGACGTTTGAATCGGAGTCGTTTTTTTCGTCCAAGCGTTTCGAACTATATAGCGCGAAGCATAAAGCAAGGCGCTCCGCGAGCGAGCGGCCAATATTCTTCGGTACACTAGTAGTAGTAGTATACTTATATTTACGGTAAACGTGTATCTGGCGATTCCGAAAGTCAGCAACACCGCATACACGAGGTGTGAAAACGCGACTCGAAAGGCGTCCACATTTCGCAAAAAGGGGATCAGGCTCGAAGCTACGCGAGCTGGTGATCTTTCTCTCTCTCTCTCTCTCTCTCTCTCTCCACGACCGTACGCGCGGGCTCTGGAGGGAATTTCGCCTCGTGCGCATGCCGAGTTTGTATCTCGACGTGCTCCAATCTGTGTTGTTGTCGGCAATGTAGCGCGGGTTCCAAAGACCATGCGGACAGGTGCGCGAGCGCGAACAGCAAAATCATGAAAGAATCACTGAAAATACAGACAAATTTCGATGGACGTTGCGTTTTACGGAGGACTTGAAAAAATCCTCTCGAATAATCATCGAGATCGAAACTTACAGCGAGCATCCCTCAACGATTACAATTTTCCCCAAAAAAAATCCAACGAAATAGAATTTAAATTTCGCGCTCGGCAAGAGCTGACGTCGCGAGCTGGCTCTCGCCAGGCGAACAGACCTGGAGTCCGGGGGGAGGCCACCGAGCAGTAGCACCAGACAGAACACGAACGCGAAACTCCTAGTCTCGTTGGTTTCCTGGTAAGGCGTTAGCCATTGCGGACGATTCCGCGTCTTTTGATGGGCAGGTGAGGAGTCTTCCGGCGCGTGTCAACGACTCCCTCTCGCTTATATACCCGATCCCATGTATACATACATTGGCTTCGTTCGCTTCGTCGTGCGGTGACGGTGGTGGTGGTGGTGGTAGTTGGTACTGCTGCGCATCGCCTCGCATTGCCCATATGTATATATAATACGTGTGCAGTGTGTGTCGAAGGGTCGCGCAGCAGCAGCAGCAAATATCTCGAGGAGAGGAGTCCACGCGCGCCTGTGCCTGCCTGCCTCGACCGACGGCCCGCCGCCACCGCCGCCGATACACATAGATGCTCTTCGTGCACTGCACACACGGCACACAGAGTGTCGCGCACATATCAGCAATATGTGCGACGCGACGAGTCCCTTTCTCCGCGGCGACCTATCTCCTCTCTCTCGGTTTCGTGCGGCGGAGGAGGAAGACGCTTTGCTTCGCGCAGGTGTCGGACGTCGACGCGCGAGCTCCGTAATTCGCGAATTCCATTCCAGGCTAGCAGAATTTCCGAGAAGGTAGAGCTTGAACCCGTGCTCGTGCGAAACTATATCTATATATATTATATCGTAGCCCGCCGAGCTTCGGTGGGGTACGCTGCGCGCGCATTTCTTCTCCGGCAGTGAACGCGACAAGGTGTTCGGTGCGAAAAGTCCGTTGCGAATCGTCGCGCTGCGTTCGAACGACGAAACGACTCCGAAGTCATTTTTGTTTAACGTACAAGTTTAATCGTCATTCGGAGTAAATATTAACGGAAGTTTTAATCGAATTAGACAGTATCGCGTTGGAAGAAATCGAGTCGCAGTATGTTACGAGGCACCAATGCAAAAAGGCGGTTTACATCGGAATGGAATGGAAGTCATCGTTAACGGCGGCCTGAGACGGCGGGAAGTTTTTTTTGGATATTTTTAATAAAGAATCATAAATGCATTCATCAAACAGTCTAATTATTCAACGGTATGCTCATTTTTTGTATAACGTACGTAACATTATAACCAATATTTTTTGAATCATTCGAAATATTTTGTTCGCGTCTTGTTCGTTTTATGTACGATTGAAGCAAAAGTCGTTGCAAGTTGTCGTGCACGGTCGAACAGTAAAATGATTCTCTTGCGTTGAATCGTCATTAAAAGTGAATAGTAACGGAAGTTATGATCGAACCTATTATATTTTATGGCGTTGGACGAAATTAAGCTTTCATATCGAACCGTAGTAGTTTACAAAGCACCAGTGCAAAAAGGCGGTTTTACATCGTCTTGGCGGTCACCGCTAGTCATTGATGAAGAAGGACTGAAATAAAAAGTTCTTTGGACATTTGAAATGAAGAAACATATTAATTTATTTATCAATCAGTTGTATTATTGAACGGTATGATAATTTTTGTCTCCAACGTTACATTATAACCAACAATATTTTTATCATTCGAATCGTTTTCTTCGTTTTTCGTTTTTTTTTTGAAAACGGTGTTTTTTACGACCCAAAGCTGAAGAATACCTTTTTTCTTATAAATAGTGAAGACATTGTTTTATACAAGTAGAACCCGATGCATGCATTTTTTCTAATTAACGTAATCTCAAAAATTTTAAATTATTTGTTATTACTGATAGAATTCGCGAAACATTTTTCGTTAATTTTATATTTTTCCTTTTAAAAATCAGTTTCCACATGACCATCGTATCGTTTTCAGCAAACCGTTATGCAAGTCGTTGCAGCGATTAAGTTTGACGAAATGATTTCTTTTTACCTAACGAACATCGAACACATTCGAATGTCGTGGATAGTAGCAAGTACCCCAATGATGTATTCAATTGCATTAGATTGATTTAAATTGTGCACCTTTCCATATCATCCTCATTGATTTTCCCATTGCAAAGTCTCAATTTAATTTAGCACTGTCCCTATTAAACATCAGTTTTTTTACGAGCTGTGTACGTTTTTCAGCAAATGAACAAATTTCGCAGTGGTAAAGTTGAACGAAATGATTTTTTTATATAATGTTGATTATCGAACATATTCGATTTTAAATGTCGTTGATAGTAACGAGTAAAACTCCTGTGGTATGGCAACCAAACCTACCGACGGAACCCCCACTATGGGCGCACCTCGACCACGTGCATTCTAAATCAAAGTCGGCGCTCCAAGGCAAACAGGAGGCGAGAAGAGCACCAACAATAACATTAGCCAAGCCAACTGTGACAGCGGCTGCTGCACAGCGCGGCAACGAGCAGCATATACAGTGCGTGCGGCGGCGTGCTGGCCTTCTCTCTCACTCTTTCCTCGTGGTGTGTGTTGCAGCGCGTGCGCTCGAGTGCCGGTTTTTCTGTCCGCTGCATTAAAAGAAGCAGCGCAACGCGATGTGTCTTTTCTCTCTCTCTCTCTCTCTTAGCTCTGGTCTATCGTGGCCTCGAATGCGCAATGCGGAGGGTAAAATTACTTGGGGCGCGCCGATGCCACGTCGGAACACGTGGTCTGAATGCGGGGCGAGCATAGGCGCACAGGAGGTAACCGGCGCGACGCGGCCGCGTCATGGTCGCCTAATACAAGCGCGGGCTCCTTATACGATTGTAGGTGGGACGGGTGTCGCGCGCGCGCGAGTTCGAGACCAGTTGCTTGCTCGCTTGCTGCTCGCCTGACGCATGCGCGCCTCTCGCCAGGCTAGCACGTGTGTAATTGTGTTTTGTGCACAGTGCAGCAGTTTGCCAATGCATAAAGGAGGCTTCTCGCGTATATACTACTATCAAGCGCGAGAGATGCTGGAGAAACATACTTACTGCGCGTCGCTTTGAAACGACGATGCTGCAACTGCTGCACTCGAATGAATGCATTTTTTTGGGGGGAAGGAATGAAGGGACGATGAGGGTTTTTTTTTTTCATGATATTTTATGAGGTAGAAAATATAATTATTTCTATTAATTTTTCTTAAAGTTAAATTTACATTGCCTTTCCAATTTTGTACAATATTTATGATACTTATCATTACGTATCAACTTGAGATCATATCTTAGAATTTGTCTTTTTTTATAAAATACAATATGTACATTAGGCTACCTATGGTAGTTTATCAACTAATGAAAACTTAATATTCTTATTGAAAATTTGTACATTAGTGGTATTTTGCTACGCGTCACTCATTCGTTCACAGCTTGAGTAATAGTTACAATTAGGAACATTATGAACATTGAACGCTCTAATAAAAATAAATATTTACAATTTATAACTAAACAGTCTAAAACTTAACATTAATTATAACAAGGATAACCAATATTATTTTTTTCTTCTACCAACTATCGACCAATCATCTTCATCTATCTCCATTGCAGTAGAGCTTGATTGCGGTGAAGTCTCTGTAGGCGATTGAGATGATCCACCTGTTTCATCATCACTCGAGTCTTCTTCTGTTGCATTGCTTGTAATAGTGGCGGTTCTGATGGTTCTATTTGAAAGAATCCAAGGTTGAAACGGTGGTAACTTATTGTTTTCAATTTCAATGCTCCTCAAGTCATTGTTTTTAAATAGCTTGTGGAATCGTATTGCACGTTGAGCCACTTCCTTTTCACTGTTGTCTTCAAGCTGAATCTGAAACTCACCTTCCATATAATCATAAAGTTCAGCAGACAAATCCATTACATCTAATTCATCATTCATCTTGAAAATTTCGACAATATACAGCACAAAGCTGCGAGCTTGTTCATAAGACCCCATGCCATGTTCAATGGCTTTTTTTAACTCATGCCAATTGCTGAAGATCCTTTCCATTATGCACTGACAAGTGAGAGTATTTTGGCACTCCATGGCCAATCTGTTGAACAAAAAACTTAAATTTTAGTGATGCCATTTGGATCACAATAAATTCTAGATAAAAATGAAGATTATAAATTCAACTATATAAAGATATCTTAATTTTTCTTAGATGAAGCAGTAGTTCATGTTAGGTACAATTTTCTAATGCATTGCAAACGCAAACAAGATCCTTGCTATTCACAATACAGCTAAAGCATTAAAGAAAGGTGTTATTTTGAAACGAAATGCCCTTTGATTGTAGACTTGATAATAGCTTGATAGTCACTGGATAAATACGATACGCACATTCACTTATGCACCATCAGTTAATTAGTAACATGAGATATTTAATTATTCTAACCTATATACAAGCGATATTTTTTTAACTCATGAACTGTTTAGAAGAGTTTTCGGTGCTATGAAATTGCTAGAGTGCATTTACAAAGCGGAATGCAAGTGGTAAACAACAGTCAACACGGACCATCTGTAGGTTGGCAAGTGCGTAAATGCGCCATGTTTCAAATTTACGTCATCAATGCCGCGAAGTTTATGCGAATTTCTCAATTCTAAATTCTAAATTCTAAAGGTCACAGTACAATTAAATTGAAAAGAAATTTCAAAGATGACTACTCAGAAACTTATAAAGATACTGCTTAGAAATTTATAAAAATGATTACTGAGAAAGTAAACATTTACAAAAACCGTAGTTTGGCTATTACACGAATAAAAATTCCGACTTTTACTTCAATCTAATTTTTTAGGCCTTGTTTAATTATTGAAGTGTAAATTTATCTGAAATTTGCCAAAAATTCACTATAATAAATGGAAAATTTTTTCATTTCAAACGCTGGGTGAGCAGCTTAAAGCTTATGATTGTAATCTTCTAGATAGTTGGCCGGCGTAACGACTAGGTACGATTGGAAGCGCAAATCGCTAGATCAATTGCGTTCTTCTTTGAAATGATGTCATTATTTTTATTTGAATGCGTGAATTATTTTTGTTATATCTTGAATGGTTAATAAGGACTTTTTTCATAATGTACATGAGAATGAAATTATATTTTTTATACTTTATAGTGTAGAAGAAATTATTTTTATTTACATGAATTTACCTACAAATTGTATGAAAATTAAATTCATAAATTTATACAATATAATATATAATTTATCATTGCATAACAACTTGAATACACATCTGAGATGGTCTTTTTTTATAAAAATACAATCTGTATACAATGCTGCTTATGATCAATCATTGTTTCATAACTGATCAAAAAAATATTTTGATAGCATATATGTACAAATGTAAATATCTTTGTACAGACTACAATGTTTATTAGTTGACAGTCCAAGTAATAATTATGATCAAAAATATAATTAAACTTAATCTGTCCAGTAAAAAGAAATTTTTACAATTATAAATAAACAGTCTAAAACTTAACATTAGTTTTATAACTAAGATAACAGATATTATCTTCTTCTTGATACTACCTCCCATCCATCTTCTACTTCCATGGCATTTTCATTATCACTTGAGTCATCTTCATCATCACTCGATGAGTCTTCTTCAGCAGCGTTGCCTATTCTAGCAGCGGGTCTGATGTTTCTATTTGAAAGAATCCATGGTAGAGTAGGTGGTAATTTATTATATTCAATTTCAATGCCCGTCATGTCATTGTTTTTGAATAGCTTGTAAAATTGTATTACAAGTAGAGCCACTTCTTTTTCACTGTTGTCTTCAAGCTGAGTCTGAAACTGATCATCCATATATTCAAATAGTTCATCCTGCAAATCTAGTGCATCTAATTCATCATTCATGTTGAGAGTGTCTACGATCCACTGTACAAATACACGAGCCTTGTCAGAGGATCCCATGCCGTGTTCAACGGCTTGTCTCAATGCAGCCCAGTTGCTTAGGATCCTTTCTACTATGACATCAATAGTGGGAGCATTTTGGCCCTCCATAGCTGATCTGTTTCAAGAAAATGAAATTATAAATAAAAATACAAATCATAAATTTCACTACGCATGGATATTTTAAAATTTTTAAATATATTTTTTTAAAGAATTAATAAAAGTTAATACACCTAATTAAATTCAAACACAAACTCCTTGTTATTTACAAAATAGTTAGAGCATTGAAAGAAAATACTTTTTAGTTTTAAACTTGATAAGACAATCACTATGTACTCTGTCAGTACATAACCTACACTAACTGATTCATTAGCAATTAATTAATTAATAAAATGACATATTGAATTATTCCTGACCTGTAAACAATGAACACTTCTTCACTGGAGAACTGATTTGTAGAGTTTTCACTTTCGGTGCAATGAAATTGCAATGTGTGAACGCACGTGTTGTGTTACTAGTAAACAGTTCGTAGTTTGAAGCACCAACGCTATCTGTGTGTAATGTGCGTAACGCGCGAAGTTTCAAATTTCTAGTTTCTCAATCATCAATCAGTCGTGATTATTGAAATTAAAAATGATACGATTCTCTTAGATTTCTTCTTAGAAATTTTTTTTAATTAATTTATAAATATGTTTAAAATTACTGTTTAAGATCAGAGTAAAATTTTATCAAAATTGTAATTTTACTATAACATGGATAAATTGTCGAATTTCACTTTGATCTCATTTATTCAACATTATTCAATTGTTTATTTACTATCAGATTGGATACAACTTCTTTTTTATTTCAACTCGTTCATTCATCACTTTCTTCACCGTGAAATAAATACCCTCAATAAATAAGATTGATCTATAAATAATTTGAAGAGCTCAAGTTCCTCATTACAAATTGATACGATTAAGAAGTATACGAGCTACGAAAACATTGTACATATAGATTTTGAGAGATTTTCAATTAGTATTTGGTCGATAATTTAATGAGTCAAAACGTCAAAAATAAACCATCCTCGAGAGTCATGGCTTTTTTTAACTTTTATAAATCGCATTTTCCCTTCACTTAAAATTATTTATAGCTATATTTGGATTCGCAATATACTCGAGAATTTCAGAATCTTCTGACTTTAGCTTTTGTCTATCATCGAATTGCATATTTCCTTCTCCCATTATAGTCGCTGAGACAATCCATCCTCGCGCTCTTAATAAACGTTCAAGCGCGTCACTTCTATAGCTTACAGCTGCAATCTTATCTATATAGCATTGGCTGGCAGTGCCGATCGTTTCTCTCTCCTCTCTGTCTCTCTTTTCTCGATGTCTCTTGGCACTTGTTCGCGCTGAGTTGATATCGTATAGGCACGTCGCGCGCGGCTCATTCGCACCTGATGCATCGCGACAAAGACCGACCGAAATCGAATTCATGTGCCATACGCACACGAACGAAGCGTTTTCGTGCGTGTAAAATATTATTATTATATCTGTAATCTTTGTCGCACAGACCATATAAAGCGCAGATATAAAATGCGAAGCTTTTCTTTTGACACACGTACACATACACACACATACAAAGAGGAAGAGGAGAGGAGAGGAGGGAGTTGCAGCCACAGAGAGAAGCATCAGCAGCAGCACACGCACACACATCCATACGCGTTCGAAATATCAAAGTGAGTGTGTGCCGATGTGTGTGTGTGTATGTACCCGTTGGCGGGCTGAAGCTCTCTTCCGGCGCTCTGTAGCAAGCAGCAGCAGCAGCAACAGCACGAAACAGCTCTTTTGCCGCATGTTCCCCGGTTGAGTGTACTGTCGACAATTACGCGCGTTACGTCACGCAATGCATTGCCCCCCACTTTACGTTTATATATTTATATATTTTACCCTCACTCTCGCCGACTGCGGGCATGTAGCGTACGAGCGCGGGGGGCTCTCTCTCGTCTCGTTTTTTCTCGAGTTTCTCTGTACTCTCTGTACGCTACATACGGTGGTGGGGGGCATGACTTCCCGTGGCTTAATACCTTCGCGTACACGCCTATCAACGATCGAGAAAAATGAATTTTGCATCGCGCGCGCGCGCGATTCTATCTCTAAGCGATCAGCTTTGAGTCTCAACACGAAACATTAGGACTCGATGATTTCGTTACATACATTACATACGCCGAAAAAATGAAAGCGCCAAAGACGCAAATCCCGCGAGAATCGAGTACCTTCTGTACACACAAGGAAAAAGGGTTAACGAACTCTATCGCTCCGCGGGGTTAGCGATCCCAAGCGCGTCGTGCGCGTAAAGTCTCCGCGCGAGCAACATCGCATCATGGTGGGAGTTAATGACGTCGCGCGCGCGATGATAATGCGAAGCGAGCTCGACGCACACATGTACGTACGATATATATGTACTATATACACGAGCTCACACAAACATACGTACGAGCTGCTCACGAACGCGTGTATAGTACACACACGCTTGCGTATAGGTACATGCACGCTGTATATATATAGACGCAAACTATCTAGCTAGTTGGTGCTCGCTTATGATTGTCTAGTACAGGTGGTTTAGAGATTAATAGAAGTTCAGTTAGGCGGCGGCGCACCGTAGCTCTATTTGGATGCTTAGACGCCGGGGACGGCTTAGAATTACCATTTCGGCGCGCGCGAGTCGCGTTTCCTTATTAATCGCGCATAAATCCGTAATTAGTGTACTTTGGTTTTGGCTAGATTTGACGTCGTTCGTGCTTCAGAGATTCACGAGTAAAATAAAAATCGACTTAGCTGAAATAGACGAACGTTCGTCGAGTCGATTGGTAATTAGAACTTGCCGCGTGCCGCACCGGTCCTATTGCAGCACACGAACACACGCACACTTTTCTCTTTCTCTCTCTCTCACATGCGCACGCGCGACACACAAAACATCTAGTCTACGTACACACCGTCGCACTATTGAGATAGACGATGCAGTGGAGTGCTTTGTGCTACCAGAGACGCAGAAAGTTGCGATGTCTATTCGATCCACGCTAGGTTGCAGCTCCTCTGTGTGTATAGCACGTTGTATTATATACATATAGTGCGACGCGTGCCTTGTACCTTCTTTAAAGCTGCAGCACACTTGTGTGTGTGCGTGTATCGCGTGTACGGAGCGAGGAGTTACCTCCTCTTCTTGTATGCGCGCAGCAGCAGCGGTATACTGTATATGCACACGGTATATACAAGACGAGATGATATTTTTCGCGCGCGAAATTTTCTTGCCTTAATTAATGGGGAGAGAATATCTGCCGTCGAAATTTAACGCAGAGGAGCCGAGCACACACTCGCACGACAGCACAGTCCGTGTAACAACGTCCCTCCTAAAAACGAGCGCAGCGGGGAAATATTTCGGAGTCGGTTCGCACGACGCACGACTTGCTATGTAGTAGCAGAGAAACTTGGATATAATTTATATAGCCAGGGAAGTTTGCGAAACTAGACTAGTAGAAATGCGAGTGAGAGAGAGAGAGCCGAGACCGTAATTATCTGCTATGCGCGCGAGAACGAGGAGCACACACACACACACAGAGGCCCGGGGACGATTATGTAGCAAGATGCTCCTCGCGAATAATTACACCCCAGGGCTGGAAATCTTTGAAGTCCTGGCAGACGCACACCAACACTCGTAGAGATCCTCTCACGTATATAACGTATTAGAGAGAGAGAAAGAGAAAATCGGAGACTGCCTGAGCTTCTGCAGCTAGCTGCGCACCCCCTGGCTTCAATTAGTACAAGATGCAGTATCTATCTCTCTCACACTCGGTGTTCACCCCGCGCGCGCGTAATAGACGGACAGATATATTTAATGTTATACTTCGCATTTCGAATTCGGTGCGCCTCTCTGCATCAGGAGCAGTATCGCGAAATGGCGGTACATACATACTATACCTGTACGTAGCTGTAATCGAATTGGGTTTTGGTTTTGCAATGAGGCAAGACAATGAACTTTGATTAGTTGCTGCTGCTGTGGCGTCTCTGCGCTGTACTCTGTGCACGCGGAGGGCTTGTTGTTTGCGCGCACATATAGGTTTGCAGTTAAATATACGAAATTCCAATTATACGTTTTGAATTACGATTTTGCTTCTTGTCGCGCGCGCGAGTGGGTGGCGGTTGTCCTTCGTTCGTTACATATTATATACACATATAATACCCGAATAATACGAAAACCGATGCTATACGCTATATAATATAACACAGAACCGCAGTTGCGGCTTGTTACATCTCAGCTGCATGTATTTGCGCTTCTCTACGTTCGAAAATCCACCGATTGTGTAACTACGCGCGAGCTCGTGCGGTTTTGTTTTCAACGGGAATATAAACTGCATCGTGCGTTAACACCGCGAGAATGTAACGACGTGTACGCGCGCGGATCGTCCTCGACGGCTGTTGTCCGAGAATTCGTTTCGCAAAAATCATCGTGTGCGTATAGTTAGTGCGGTCATCGCGTGCATGTACAGGAGAAATGCGTCAACGGACGAACGCGCGCGCGGGTTCTATGTACACGAGCTGACACTCGTGGTATGGATTTACAATCCTTTATTTTACATATACCTTTCGGGTTTTCAAAACTGTTTCGTTTTTCATGTGGGTGCTTTTATAACACCCGCCATTTTCGTCTGTATACAGAGTAAAAGCCGGTTATATACCTCTGTATATAACACAACGCCATATTCCCGCTGCAGCTAGCTGTATTATATACCTATATACTAGCTAGCTCCGAAACGGCGCGCTGCATCTCTGTGTGTGTACCGAATCTCTCCCACCATGGGGGTTATACACACGTATACCCAAGAGAGAGCATGGCTGCTGCAGCCTGTGTGTTGGTTCGTGCTTTCTCGCGAAAGCAAGTCTCTCTCTCTCTCTTTCACCGGTACATAGAGAGTAGAACGAAATTCCCCACTCTCTCTCTCTCCCGGTGCGCTATGCGAATCCCGCAGAGTCAGCATCCTCGCCACATATATGCTCCTGTGCCAAAATCCGTTTGGTTGCTCTCACAGCATCCCCCGCGCTTTGAAACATCCCGTGTTTTGTCGCGCGCACGCGTTTCCCCTCTTCTCTGCAGCTGCTTTTTTTTTTCTCGTCGTCGTCATCGTCGTCATCACCGTCATCGTCATTACGAGCTCACTCTCTGTACGGTGGAGCGCTCCATTGAGCCGCGCGCCGCTTTTGAAATATCCGTCATCGCGCGCGCGCGCTTATACCTTTCATTCGTCTACTTTATCACCCGCCCGGCCGCAAACGGCGGAGGTATATATAATGAAAAAGAGCAGGAGATATAGTGGAAGGAGGAGGGGTCATCAGAGCAGGTGAAAAAGCGGAACAGAAGCTCGAAAGGTGTGCATTAGCGTAGGTTGTGTCGTACCCGGGCCAAATAGCCCATCAATCATCGGCGAATTTCGGCAACGCGCCGGACAACGCCGGCGGCAGGGAACTATCAGCAACGTAGAGTTCTTCTCTTCTCTCGTAGACCTACTCTCACTCACTGACAAAGTGAGCGGAACACACACATACACACGTACACGTACACAAATTCACACACACACACACACACACACACACTTATACACATGCAACACGAGCGAAAGCAAGTTGAGAGCGAGTGAGAGAGAGAGAGAGAGAGAGAGCGAGAGAAAGAGTTAGAAGGAGGTAGTAGTTGGTATAAAGAACACAAGCTGGTGGGAGAAAAGTTTGCACGTTTATAGTTTTCACCGAACGGCAGCAGCGCTTAGGATTGCCGCTCGGCCGTGTATATTTATAGCAACCACGATGACTACGATGACGACGATGACTTTGGAGTATATTGTATACACACGCATGTACGTACAAGGGCTTGCACTGCATTCGCACGCACGCAAGCTCTATACTACCTAGCATCCCAGTTACCGAATCATCGACGGTTGAGGAGTGAATGTTGCAAAGAGGTGGTATTCCAGGCACTCGATGACGATGATTTCGGGGGTTGCCTTGCAACGAGCCGAGTACACACGCGATATATACGCAGTAGCAGCAGACATTATATATCTATAGAGGTGAATGATTGCCCCGTGGTGGTTTCACGTGCGTGTGCGCGCGATACGATACAGCTGCTGCAGTAGCAGTCGATGACTTTTATACATACAATGATGTTGTATTTCGACCTCGCGCGAGATCAATTTTTCATTTTGAAGGGTCACGCCCGAGCGCGGCGGCAGCTCGAAACGATGATTTTCCATGTTACAAAAGTGCCAGCAACTGACTCCGCGGTGCACAATATGTACGCGAGGGTGTAATTTATCCTCGTCGTCAAAAAGCTCAATGATGAAAGTGCACGAGAGACAAGCTGAAATGTTCAATTACTCTCGATAATGATTGTCCGCTCGCACCTAAAAAGGCTGCAAAGGCCCTCGAAAGTTAATGACTTTTGTGAGATAAAAGCTCGATCTACTCCGAAGAGTCGCTGCTGTCGATGCTCGAATGAAGCGAAATCGACGAATGACCCAAAAAAGAAAGTTATGAACAATTTATTCGATTTATGCAGACATAATTATGAATATATGGCATCGATCGAGCATCAAAAGAGAATTGAAATCCTTTCATTTAGTCCCCATTTTAATCTATCTTTCTCGAAAAAGCTCGCGATACATATTATAGTTTTCGAAAAGTATAAGCTCCTCAAAAAGAAACACCGATAATAACTCTCTTCATGAATCTTCGCATAAAAAGCCGCTCGCGCATATTCATTCGCTCGTGTCGCGTTGTTGATTCTCGTTCTACCGTTATATGCACTCGTATTACCAACACTACTACGTAAGCCCACGTGCATACGCACACACATACGCGCGCGCACACACGATACATAGACCTTTTTTTTTACCTTCTCTCTGGCTCGGTGCACTCATGCCTCGTGCGCTTTTATACACACATGCACTCTTCGCCGTTATGCTCGCCGTGGCCACAACAACATGCGGATCGCTTTATTAACTACAATTAACATTCCCTGTTTACCCATGGACTTGGGCGAGATATCGAGCGAAAAAAAAACATTATTAGTCCAATTGGAAGTTTATATACGCGCTCGAAAGGGAGAGTACTTTTTTCTCGGTGTGGGTGGGTGCAAGTTTATAATGTTTGTCGAACGATTCGGCTGAAAAAAAAACATTGTTTACTTCGAACGAGTTCTATATTTGTTTATAACTCCTCTGTACGGTATAGCGATTACGTCATCGAGTCCGAGAGTCATCGAGTGTGCAGTCGATGAAATTCAAATGGCGCAAAGCCGAGGTACAGTATCCTCTGTGTACGATATAAATTGATCACACGGCACGGCGCGCTTCGAAATAAGCTCCATCGCAATCAATACAAAGGGTTCGTCGCTGCTCGCCCTCGCCCGCAAGGAATTAAAGTTCCACAGTAGCCTGTATATGGGGGTGTAGCTGCGCAGATAATCAAGCTCCCCGAAAATAAAGTTACTGATGAAAAAAGCGCCACTGCTACCGCAAGCAGCGTATTGAAATCGGCTGCGGCAGCTCTGCCGCCGCGCGAGCTTATGAATATATGTATAGCACCTACTCTAGCTGCTGCAGTCTGCACTGCAGCAGCCCGCCGTGTCAGTGTGTGTACATCGTATATAAACATGTGTAAATATCGTGTCGCCCGTGCAGCGCCGAGTGTGCGTTATATCGTATGTACGTACACTCGTGCCCGCTGGGGAGCTGTTGCCAGCTCGTGCGAGTCTGCGAGTCACGAGGCCTGAATGTGTCGCAAACGGCCGGCCACTGACGCCTCGCGCTATCCGGCTGCCAGCATAGTCGAGGAGGTGGCACAGCTGCAGTGTATACATGCTGCTACTGCTGTACCGCACTGACTCGAGTATATGAAATGATATACTGCAGATATAGCGTGTACCGAGCGAGCTCCGCAAACTGACGCTGCGTTGATGATACAAATTTACAATTTTGGCCAGTTTTTATGTATCGATTGGTTTTAATTAATTTTTGTAATTGTCCCAGTTTTTTTACCTCACTGTTTTATTATTCGATATTAACAAATAATTAGGTAATTGATTAAAAAAACAGCGTTGAAACGAGAACTCTAGAAATCGGGCAGATAATCGAATTATGAATTGTTGATGACGTGCAACTATTTTTTGCATTCGTATCAATTATCCACATTGCCATTAGCTAATGATACTCTAAATTATCAATCGGAGTAAGTAAAATTGCCAGCATCATAAAGTCCGTGTCATCCCGCCCTGAATGATTAATGGTCATCAAAAATTTGGCAATAATTTAAATTAATCAATCGTGCAAAAGGTATAGAATAATTAACAATAATTTCGATTTTCAATTCGAATGCACGTTTACTTTTGAAGACGAGTACGATCCCGGCAACGCGAAATATCCCCGCAGAGTGAGCGGCACCGTTGGATCATATATACGTATACGTTCCATGCCGCGCCACGTATAGATATAACCCAGCGTCTTCCAATGTTTGTATATTGTACATATAAGTATGCTATATACATATATGTATTTGTATACATACAATATACAACATATATATGGTGGCTGCTCACAGTAACTCCACCTATATCATGCGTTCTCAGTAAAATATAACCAGACGTACAATATACATATATAAACATACGTAACATATAAGTTTTATGCGCGCGCGCGGAGGCTAAGGCCAAGTACGCGGGCCAATATACATGTATTTAATACCCGATACATGCATACGTAGAGGAGGGAAATTATAATCTCTCTTTCTCTCTCGACGAAACTCCTTGAAGAGTCTGTTCTCCAATTAAGTCGATTTACCGTCCTCCGGTTATGTTTGATGCTCCATTATGCATCTTCGCCTCCTCGCGCGTACGTACGCGATTCGCCCGGACCAGAAAAGCCTCGTTACATCGGGGGATCGTTGTTGTAACAATAAAAGGAGAACATTACGAGAAAAGAGAGGTCGCCCATCCATATGTACGTGCATATCTGCACTGGCGATGCTCCTCCTCCTCCTCCTCCACCACGAGAGCGAGGGAGCGCGCGCGCGCGCGCGCGGAGTAGTCGAGCCTCGACGAGAGCCATCCTAGGTAAACGACGCGGCCACGATAACTGAGCGGAGCTCGCACGCGCCTGTCGTAGGTCATGCACGCGCTCCTATATCTATATATACGATGCACACACAACACGTACACACATTCTCGAGCTGTGCAGTGCACCGCACTCGTTGCGTGCAATTACTCTTTCTCTCGCTCGCTCGCTCCGCATTGTGCGCGATATATATTTCGAGATGTATACTCGAGGTGTACGCGCAAGTCGGGTTGTCGACTCTGCAGGCGTTTTATGTAAGCTGGTATACATCGTGAAATGAAAAAGCTTTCGAGAGTTTTTCATCGTGTTATATTTATTGCTTTAGTTTAATTGTAAACTATTTAAGATATATACTATTTTTCGCTCGAGTGTTGGAGTATTTTACAGATCTTATTTCATACATATTTTTTATCGATAATAAATAGTGATTTTTCTGTACGAAGTCAATACTGCTTAACACTTCGTGTATAAATATTTCAATATATCGTATAACAGTAAAACAATAAATCATCTATAAAATGACCTTGGAGGGGATCGAAACGATTCAATACTCAACCGTCCGCAGTTGTTTTATTCAACTGAACCGACATCTATTATATACAAAAATTATCCTCGTCGCATAATTACAAAAAGTTGTGTACTTCATATTCAGCCTCTTCGATATATATCTACTACAATGTAATGTATTGTGCGATTGTTGTATATTACGAAAGAGAGTTCAGTCGTCGTTAACAATAGTAATTAAAGCTATATTATTTCTTTCGATTAAATTCCGTTGTACAATTACGACCGGTTATAATGCAACAATACGATTTCGTGTAAAATTTATCGATAAAGCACGTTTTACATTTTTAAAAAATCGTATACTTTTTTTGTAATACCATATGGATACTCATTGAATGCGCGTAGTGGTAGCACCGTGATAAATAATATAAAAAAAATTCGTGGTTACATCGATTCGTCCACGTGCTGTACATATGTTGCTATTTATAACGTTTTTATAACAATTATACAGCAATTCAGAGTTTAGGTCGGTGGCGTGCTGCTGTTGCTGTCGGAGCGCAAGTGCGTCGGCGACGCTCCGCTGTAAGCTATGTCGAAGACGCTCTTTTTGTCCAGCAGCTGCTGATGTCGCAGACGCGTCGTCGTCGTTGTCGTTTTGCCCTCGCTCTGCATCGACACGGCGATCCCCGAATCCAAATCGTCGTCCGGACGCCGACCTTCCGACGAGTCATCCTATATGTAGATTGCGAGGAAATAAAAGAACATAGAGACGCTTATCCGTGGTGTGCATTTATAACGACGAGCTTCGCAATCGAATACGAGATCGATTGTACGCAAGCTCAGCTTTTGGTTTAAACATTGTATGTACATACCTGAAAAGCCTCGGGTGACGGATGCGGCACCGGTGGCGGCTGCTGGTGCAGGTAGAACGGCATCGTTTGCACTATCCGCTCGTACTTGTACTCGGAGTGCTGGACCAGATGATGCCTCGGCTCTATGTGCAGGCTGCGCTCGAGGCAGGCGTCCACGGCCTCGCGCGGTGGCTTTTGCGGCGCGAAGATCTGCACCGGTGGGTCCTCCTTGCCGCAACGGCCACCGGCCTCGGCCTTGCGTAATTTACGACCCTGGCGCACGATGGCTTTCAGCTGTTCCGACTCGACGTTCACCAGTGGCCTGATTCGTAGCCGGCTTATGCGCTGCTGCTGCTGCGACGACGACGCGTTCGATTGATGCGACGCCGCGGATAGCGACTTGGCTCTCTCGCGCGATCTCGAGTTCTGTGTTCGAACGTAGCAAATATAAGAGTAAACATTTTTTGGATTTTTCTCTTCAATTTGAAATATAATTTCATTTTCTATTATACCTTGTCTTCGGCATCCTCCGCTCGCGAATGCTCGTCCGCTGATTTAGCTCCTCTCTGCCTTCTCAGAGGCCTTTGCCTTTGCTCTTTCACCACCTCGGCTTCTTTTTTCTCCCTCTTTCGCTTTTCCGCCTCTGCTCGTTTTTCCTGATACCAAGCCATGTAACGCGAACGGGCTTTCGTAATTTCCGGATCTCTGTTGCACGCCGCCGCCGCTACGTGCGGGGGGCTCTCTTGCAGAGACGACGCATCGCTCAACCTTCCGCTGCCGCTTTTATTATTATCGTCGTCCGAGCGGGTCTGCCTGTAGTGATGGCTCACGTGAAGCTTCAAATGTTTCGAGCGAATTTCGACGCGCCGCTGGTGATGCTGCTGGTGCTGCTGTCGGATGTTGCCACTGCTATCTTCGATTTTTCCGGACTCGGATATCTTTCGAAAGGACTCGGTGCGGCTTGTAAATCGATCGGATCTGTAGTGCTGCTCTTTGCGCTTTGCTCCGACGATGACGGGCCGTATTCGAGGATGATCCGTGCGAGTTTTCGCATCGGCAGTCTTGTGTGTTGGTAAATAATAAAGTGAAAATAATAAAGTCATTCGAGTATTTAAATTTAAACTTTTATTGGACGTCCAAAAAAAAGTACACAAACTAAGATGCGTGAAATGAAAATTCATACGCTTCGCTTACCTTTTGCGTCGTCGTCGTCGTCGTCGTCGTCGCTTCAGTAAATCCCATAGATTTCGACGAATCTGTGCGAATCTTTTTCGTGGGCGACCTCGGTTGATCCATGCTCATCGCTTTCCCGGAAGGATATTTTGGTTTATCTATCGGCGGCACCTCTATTTTCTGGGGAAATATTGCCGTCTTCATCTGCGTACCCGGAGTTTGCTCGCTTTCTAAGCTCCACTTTTGGCAAGGCTTAGTCGCTGCTGCTGCTGCCGCTGCTCCCTCGACATCGACTGCCTCTCCATCGGATGAAATTGAATGTCTAGGCGTACCATAAGGCCGCGTATGTAAAGCGGTTTTGTTCGACATGTCACTTGCACACGATGAGTCGTCGTCGTCGTCCTCGTCGTCGCTGTCGTCTATGCCGAAGCCCGTTGCATCCGTCACACTGAAAAGTGGTGCAGGTGGATAATCTGATTTACGCTGAGGAAGTTTGATTGGACTCTTTGGAAAGGACGATTTTTCCAGACTTTCTTTTATCTGCTGCTGCTGCTGCTGCTGCTGCTGCTGCAGCGGCTGTGGCTGATGGTTGACTTTCTTTTTCGGCAAAGATTGCGTTGGCGAAACTTTAGAACTTTGACCTTGAAACTGATTTGATTGAGAAAGTTTTAAAGGAAGCTCGCGACATTTTTCAGGCTGGGTTGACGGCGAGGTTGACTCTTTTTTATTACCCGCTTGCTTTCTCGGCGAATCAGATTTATCTTGTTTCGAGTTTGATGTTTTATTCGATTTCGAGTCATTTATATTGTTTGGATTATAAGTTGGTAACATACTCGATGATTCTCCGGCATCATTTCTTATATTAATTACATTTCTATTGTACAGTAAATCACTATTGGTTAAATTTTGAGATTGTTCATTGTCACTCAACGAATTTTTCATATTTATTTGATTTTGGGTATCATTATTATCATTCACGGAAGTATCCACTCGTAAAGGAATTTTACTGGGCTCGCCGATATTTTCATTAGTCTGATTTGAATTGACGTCAGATACCGATATTTGATTTTCATTAGGACAAGAAGTTGTTTGCGCGCTATCGATCATATCGTCCAATGAATTTATTTTTAATATATTATTAACCTTCATCAGTGTATCATCAACAATTTCAGAGGCTATTTTTTCTGCTTCGTCGAATTCTATAGATGGTTTAATACTTTCTTCAATTTGTTGTGAATTTTCTGATATTAATTTGTTTTCTTTATTTTTTTCCAATTCTGTTTTTATCGACTCTTTAACTGGATTTGGCGAGTTTACAGGTAATTGTTTTTCATCGCAAATTACAGTAATTACTGGGTCGGTAATTTCAATTCCTTGATTTGTATCGAAAATTTGATTAGTACTCAATGGCTCTTCACCTGAAATATCATTCAATTTCATTTGAATTCCACTATCCGTTTGTTCATCTTTGTTTTCATTTAACACTGTTTCTTCAAGTATTTGATAAGGAATAGTCTCACTTTCATTAGACTCTGTTGATATATTTTGCCCTACTTTTTGTTGATCTTCTTTAAATTCATCTGAATCCTTTGCATTATTTACATGTTCAAGTGTTTTGTCGGTCTTACTTGATTCCAAAGATTCAGATTTTTCAATTTTTTCACTCAATAAATTCTCATTCTTTTCCAAAACTTGATTAGCCATAGATGCATTACTTGTTCCTACAAGGTACAAAGTAGTAATAGGTAATTTTTCAATTTTTTCTTCAATTTGTGGTTTTATAATTTCATTAAGATTGGCTGAATCAACAGACATTGTTTTTGAAAATCCTTCAGATTTTGAAACCTCCTTCAGTGGAGCTTCTAATTTTTTACTGTACTCGGCTGCATTCGCTGCAGTTTTGTTCTTTTCAATTACGATGAAAGATATTGCATCATCTGATTTGGGATTATCTGAAGAAGATTTATCACTCATGGATTTTTTCTTATTTTTTTGTGCATCATTTGTACTCTTTGATTTTTCACTGTCTTGTTTCTTATTTTGACTATTGCTTTTGAACGTTTTAGCTTTTTCAGTTTTTAAAGGAGATTGAGGAACTTCACTTTTTTCATTATTTTCAAAACTGCTAGATAATTGATTGGCCACAGTCTCTTTTGCTTTTTGAATCAAACTAGTGACTTCTTGTTCAACTACACTTTTCACGTTTTCAAGAAATGCATTTTGATCGAAGGTAGGGGAATCTTTCGTAGTTATTGATTTTGTTTCTGGGTTCGATTTTTCCTCTTCAGATGTAGCTGATTTTTTATTCATACTACCTATGCTTTTTCTTGGGGAGGAAATTTTACTATCGTCACTTGATGTAAAACGTGAATTTCCTCGTTTTGATTTTCTTTTGTCCCATTCGCTAACAGTTTTGTTTTTAATCGGTGATACTTTGTTCTTTTGTGAAATCTTCTTTTCAGTCCTTTGAACTGTAGTTGATTTACTTTTTTTTACTGGTGATTCATTCATTGTTTTTGATGAGTCAGAGTTTTGTTTTGATTTTACAGGAGACGAATCACTTTTCATAATTGAAACAATTTCAGTGTTATCAAGTTCTTCATGATCTGATTTATTAACAATATCATTTTGCTGTTTTTCTTTTTGTAATTGAGAATCGATTTTAGATATAGCATGAGTTGTTTCATCTTGACTTTTTTGTTTTTCACTGCTAGATGATTGTTTTTTAGATTTATCACTACTTTCTTGATCGGAACTTGCAACGTGTTTTTGTTTAACTAATTTTCTCTCTGTTATTTTAGACCCTTCTTCCAATGTTTGAGTTTTTTCTTCAACTGTTATTTTCGTAGGGCTAGTTTCTCTTGATAGACTACGAGTCGTGCGCCGTAGCATTACCTCGGATTTTTTCGTTATATTATAAGTGGCTGCACTATCATCTTCCGACTCCTTCTCTGTTTTGCTTCCTCTCTTTTTAAGCATTTTTAATTTATCATCACTAAACTGGCGAACTTTTTGCTGAAAATTACTGAGCTCTCGTTCTAAAACCTTAAAACTTGGCTCCATGAAATTACTTTTTTCCAGCTCTAATTTTTTTTCTAATCTCTTTCTCGGAGGTTTTACGGGTTTTTTACGTATTTTACTTTTCGTCAAGATATTTTTTTCCTTACCATCGGGAGACGAGGTGGTCGAGCTATTATTTACAGTAGATTCTTTAATTTTCTTCTTTTGAACGGTGATATTTCGGGAAATTATTTTTGGCATTTTTTGTTTAACAGCGGATTTGACGTCAGAGCATGTCTTGGAAAACTTGCCCTTTTCTTCCTCGACATCGGAATCGTTCGATTTCAATGAACTTGAAAACTCCTTCAAAACATCCGGTGACACGGAAACTTTTCGGCTACTCTCCGTGACTTCGATTTTCGTGCTGCTCGGAGACGATCTTCTTTTGCTCGGAGACGATCTTCTTTTGCTCGGACTCAACGCTGAACTTTCCTCGGGTATCGGTGTTCTGACCCAAATCGTCTTCTTTGTTTGCTTGAAATTCTCCTTTGTCTCGACTTTTCCTTTCGATTTTGATTTTCGCCGAGTGCGCGAATCCTCGTCCATGTCCTCGGTATCGCTACGACTTCGAGCGAAGTTTTCCGTTTGCGTGGCGGTCGTTCGATCAGTTTGCGTTGCCGTGGCTATTTGTCCTGAGTATATAAACGAACAATAATTATAATAAAATATTTGAGAAATTTTATAAATGAATCTCAAAACTCGAAGCTAAAATTACGATTGAAATTGTTGTCACTTGCTGCATGTGATTATTGTTCATTATAGTCTCAAAAACCTGGGGATGATGAACATTTTGATAGGTATTTTGTCTATAGCTATTTTGGTTAAGAATCTTGTTATTTTCGTCAAATATGACTACTTTTCTAAATTTGAGATTGTTCTCTGACCTTCTTTTTGGCTTTAAGACATCAAAAGTCAAAAGAAATATCCTCTGGGGTTAGAAAAAATGGCATCAAAACGTCACGATACTAATTAAGTGAATTTTAAACTTTAAATGCACAAATTCAAAAATTTTATAAATTATAAAATGTCTAAAATCATTAAAAGAATCCGTGTGACTGTAAATATTGCAGTGTATTTATATAATCCAAAAAATTTTAAAAAGTAATTAAAATTTTCCATTAATAAATTAAGAGCAATATCTGTTAAAAAATTATTATATTCACAGTAATCGAGGAATATTCTCTAAAATGTTCATTCTCGCTCGGGGCCAATAGTGAAATCCGTTATGACAATTATTTTTACGAAATTAGTTTTTCTCACTATGCTTCGTACTTCATAGAATTAATTATTATTTTTCCGTTTATCGTTACAATAAATTATTTATGTTTACTAATCACTAGACAAGAGATACACCGTATTATTTCATCAAGTGATTTGTAAATATTATATTATCGAATTAAATTCGAGCTATATACGGAAAAAGTATTTTTAAGCAAATAGAAATGTGCGCGTTTATTGCCGCGTTTTATTGTTTACGTCGCGTGTCGCATACATGACCTTTTTTCGTCATGCTGCCCGGCTCGTAGTATTTTGCGTGTATTCCATGATAACGCTACGCTACACAGAGGACTGTGCGAGAAGCTAATCAAACATAACCTAGCATTCTTCGCATAAAAACAGCTCCTCAAATATAGCGAGCATAGCTCAGCTCTTCTTGCCAATATTTTGTTTAGTTAAAGTTTAATTTTTGAAGAAATGCAAAGTGAGAAAAATGGAATCTAGTGATATACTTGATTGTGTAGAAGTCAAAGACGAGCCTATTGATGAATTTCTCATTGAAAATAACTATGAAGTTTTTGATGAGGTACCTGATCATAAAAACCTCCGAATCATATCATTGTCGCAAGAAAATTCAGTAAGTGTTGAAAATTATATCTAACTGGTATTGTAGTTGTTTTTAATAAAATTTTTCACGTAGCTTTAATTTTTCAACAGACACATACTCTTAGGAAATGTGACGTCAAACACGTATCTGAAAGTGATGGAACAAAAATAGTTTTTCAATGTGAAGACGTGAAGCCCACATTGAATATATTAGCAGTTAAAAAAATTGACGATGATATTGGAAACATAATTAAAATAGAGCCTGCAAGAGATGTGAAAGAAGAAATTTTTAGCGATGCTGCAGAAGGATTGAATTTGAATGTTGATTATGAACTCAATAACGATGTGAAATTAATTTTTGAATGTCAAAATATGAAACCTGTTAATCTATTGTCTGTAAGTAAAAATGATGATCATTCGTCAAATTATTTCCAAAATGTAAAAGATAGCGATGATTATAAAACTCAAAACAAAATTAAATTAGAACCTGACGGTGAAATGAAGCAGGAATTTTTTGGTAATGTCGCAAAGGAATTAAGTTTGATTTCCGACTGTGGACTCAGTAATAAAAATAATATCAAAAGAAACAAAAAATGTAATAACGAAAATAGACTCAAAACACCACTCGATATGGCGCAGAAGGGTGTCAAACATACATGTGATATTTGCCAAAGGAAATTATCAACGAAGGCGAACCTCCAAATGCACATCGATATGGTGCATAAAGGTATCAAGTATACATGTGATATTTGCCAAAAGAAATTCTCAACGAAGGCATACCTCCAAAGGCATTATGATTCAGTACATAACGGTATCAGGCATACATGTGATATTTGTGGAAAGATATTTTCCCAAAAAGGTAGTCTCAAAACTCACATTAATGTGGTGCACAATAATGTCACACAAACATGTGATATTTGCCAAAAGAAATTCTCAACGAAGGCGAACCTCCAAATGCACATTAATATAGTGCACAATCGTATCAGGCATACATGTGATATTTGCCAAAAGAAATTCTCAACGAAGGCGTACCTCCAAATGCACACCGATATGGTGCATAACGGTATCAGGCATACGTGTGATATTTGTGGAAAGATATTTTCACAAAAAAGTAGTCTCAAAAATCACATTCAGTCGATGCATAATAATGTCACACAAACATGTTGTAATATTTGCCAAAAGAAATTCTCAACGAAGGCGAACCTCCAAATGCACATTAATATAGTGCATAACCGTATCAGGCATACATGTGATATTTGCCAAAAGAAATTCTCAAAGAAGGCGTACCTTCAAATGCACTATGATTCAGTACATTACGGTATCAAGCATACATGTGATATTTGCCAAAAGAAATTCTCAACGAAGGCATACCTCCAAATGCACTATAATTCAGTACATAACGGTATCAGGCATACATGTGATATTTGTGGAAAGATATTTTCGCAAAAAAGTAGTCTCAAAACTCACATTCATGCGGTGCATAATAATGTCAAACAAACATGTGATATTTGCCAAAAGAAATTCTCAACGAAGGCGTACCTCCGAATGCACATCAATGTAGTGCATAATGGTATCAGTCATACATGTGATATTTGCCAAAAGAAATTTTCAAAGAAGGCGTACCTTCAAATGCACTATGATTCAGTACATTACGGTATCAAGCATACATGTGATATTTGCCAAAAGAAATTCTCAACGAAGGCGTACCTCCGAATGCACATCAATGTAGTGCATAATGGTATCAGTCATACATGTGATATTTGCCAAAAGAAATTCTCATGGAAGGCGTACCTCCAAATGCACTATGATTCAGTGCATAACGGTATCATGGATACGTGTGATATTTGAGGAAAGATATTTTCACAAAAAAGTAATCTCAAAACTCACATTAATGCGGTGCATGATGATGTCACACAAACATGTGATATTTGCCAAAAGAAATTCTCAACGAAGGCGTACCTTCAAATGCACATTAATAAATCGCATAACCCTATCAGATGTACATGTGATATTTGCAGAGAGATATCTTCACAAAAATTTAGTCTCAAAAGTCACCTTGATGTGGTGCACAAAGTTATTAAATACGCATGTGATGTTTGCGGAAAGAAATTCCGAATTAAAAGTAGTCTCATAATCCATGTTGATCAAGTGCACAATGGTATCAAGTATGAATGCAATATGTGCGGAAAAAAATATGCACAAAAATATTATCTTAAACTCCACATTAATGCGAAGCATATGGGTTTAAAAAACGCATGTGATCTTTGCGGGAAGATATACGTATCAAAGCGTAATCTTAAAGTCCACATTGATTCGGTGCATCTCTCAAGAATTTCAACTCAATGAACTTGTAATATATTGATTATAATTGAATAGAAAATTAATTTAAAAAATGTTGATCATTTTTCATCGTGTAAAAAGAATTTATAAGTTTCATAAATTGTTTATACATTTTCAAGAAAAATGAAACCCATTGTAAAGCAAATAAAATTATGAATCCCTTATGTTAATGCTAATTTTGTAATGCTCGTAACTTTTCAGTATGTTTCACCCTGAACTCCACAAGTTTCAAAATTATTTACCCTGTTCACCCTATCAATTTTTTATAAGAGGATTTTAGGGTATAACTGTATGAAATTACTATGAATATATAGTGATACTTTGTAAAGTATTTTTTTCAGTGCAGTTTAACATTCAACAAAAATTATTCCCCCGCCTGTCCATTTTTTTGGGAACTCAATGAATAATCATCAACGTTAATTACAATATTTCAGTCGCGATTTTAGCTACGAATTTTAAGGATTTTTTTAATAGAATCACTCATATAATATATTCCAAAAACAAAACGGTATACATTTTGAATATTATGCACGTACCAGGGAGGCTTTGTGTTTCGAGGAAGCTCGAATAGTCGGGCAGAGCGGCAGCGTGCAAGACTCCTTTGCCCTCGCGCTCTAATAAAAGTCTCGTTAGCAGCGCATTCTGTCTAACCAACTCGGCGTCGTGCGCCCGGTAGGCGCTCTTGGATGTTTCCGCTGCTGCAATTTCCGCGTCTTTCAGCGGCTTGTTGTTGGCTGCGAGGATATCTCTGCCGGTGTATTCGTCGCTTTCGACGTCTTTTGATGCGTAGCTCGGTTCGTTGATTAATTTCTGGAAAAGTCGGTCGAAAGAAAAAAATCAAAACTATGTCACTTTGCCAGTGCATAAACAATTCTTCTTAAAAAATTTTTTTTGAAAAAATTTTTTTTTAAATTTTCATAAAAAATTTTTTTTGAAAAATTTCTTCTCGAAAATTTTTTTTTAATAATTTTTTTTTAATAATTTTTTTTTTATACTTTGCCGGCTAGGTGCTACCGCACCTCTTGATACGTTCGAAACAAAACGCGCTTCGTTTACGCGTAACGTTTTGTTAACGGAAAACGACGTCGACGTATAATGATGATAATAATAATATAATACCACGCGCTCGAGTCGTTGCTTCTGATTAGGCTGGCGCTGCATCTCTAATCTCTCGGGTATAATTATAATTTCTGCCGGCTCGTTTGCCGCCCTCTTGTGCTGCGACGCGATGACGACACTGTGATCGAGTTCTCCGTCGTGAATGCTTCCTTGATAACTGTCGCGCTGCTGCGAGGCCTCTTGTTGAGCGCGACGCGCTTTTTGATCCTCGATGAAGCGCTGCATCAGAATGTCCTTGCCGTCGTCGTCGTGATAAAAGTCCTTTACGCACCAAAAATAAGTATACGATGAAATATTTTACTTTTGTTCAATTTCAAAAAGGGTGTCAACATTTTTTTCCAATTTACCGGATGCTCCTCGATCTGACCTCTGGTAACTAATCTCAACACTTCGGCGTTTCCATCTCTGTAAAAATGCTGCTCTCTGTTGGATCCACCGACTTCGCCTGTATCAGGCGCCGCCTCGTTGCTGCCTCGTGCTTTCTCGTGCCTCCTCAGCGAGTCGAGCTCCGCGTCATCGGTGTAAACTCCTTCGCGAGCCGCCGTCACTTGATCGCCGTAAGGAACCAATGGCACGATAGTGTATTGCGGCTGTTGTTGTTGCTGCTGTTGCTGCTGCTGTTGTTGTTGGAGGCCGCTGTGCTGGGGAGGTCGAGCTGCCTGCATCCGATCGTAGTCGGGATGTCGATGTCCCGGCGGCGCGACGAACGCATCGCCGGGCAACGAGGCGATGCCGAGATTTTTCGTGTTTCGACGATTGAACTGCCACTGCTGGCGCTCGGGATCTGCGCTCCAGGCCTCTTTTCGCTGAGTGCAGTATCCGACTGTAACGAGAGGGAAAATTATCGACGTTTATTTTTAGAAAATTCCTATCAATTTTATATCGAAATTTGATATATTTACCGTCGATCATTTTCAAAGGTTTGCGATGCAAATGACGCTTCGGCCGGCCATTCGTGCGCATAACAATGGTCTCGGCTGAGTGAACTCGTCGTTTACGCGGCTCCATGTAAAACGGACAGCTCGAGCAGACACAACAAGTGATGAGCGTGATCAGCGCCGCGAGTATTAAGAGACCCAAAAGCACGAGGAGCCAAGTCAGAAGTTTATTTTCAGCCTTATAGACGGTCTACAGATTAGCAGTAATTTGGTTTTTAATTAATACGTATAAGCCTCAATGGTTCGAGTTTAAATAAACTATTATACTCACGACTTCTTCGCTACTCGATTGAGTGATGGAAATGTTTTTCCCGTTTCTCGCGCCGCTCGTTTCGCCAGCGCCTTGAGAATTTCCCGACCCTTCGTCCACGGGTTCCATGCCGCTAATTACGCCGAATCCATTAGCGGCCAGCGATTCTCTGATTTTATTCACGTCCACCAGTGTACCCGGGCCGTTTTGCTCGACTTTTGCTACTACTACGCTTCTGCGAAAGAAAATGTTAAATTTATAATTACTCGAAATACAAGCTCGAGCGATGTAATTTTTTTCGCTTACCGTTTGCTCGAATCTTGGGTACTGGGATTGATTTGCGCTGCGTACGGTTTGATCTCTTGAATGGTGACTCTGCTGCCGGTAATGGTGGCCAATGTTTCGGCGGTCTTTTTGGGATCGGGATTTTCGCCGGGCATAACGAACATGACGATGCGAGCGAAGGCAGTCGTCGGATGCATAATCCGGATCTGAACGGTACTCGAGAGATGCGGTACACCTTTAAAAAAAATATAAATTTTATTTCTTACTTCGCTCGAAATTCGGTAGTTATCAAAATAATAATACGTACCTAAATCGTAAGCTCGAGCAGTCAGTAAGAACAAAACGGTGTCCTCGGCTCGTCTCGTGCGGGTTTTATTTTCCAAGTGGTGACTCGACGAGTTCGACAGGGTCGAAAAATTTTCAAACTGCGACGAGTCGTTCGCGGATTTAAGAACACTCGAAACATTCTGGACAGTCGTCGGCGTTAACGAGGAGAACGAGGAAGAGGAGGAGGATGAGGAAGGCATCTCTGGCTCGGATAGCCTGAGCTGTTTCCTCAAGTTTGATGAAGCCCTCCGGGCCTTTCTCGCTTTGTTGTTGATGACTACTCGCAGCGTAAGTTCACCAGTCTCCTCATCGAGTTGAAATTTATTGTCATAGTTACCGTTGACTATTTCGTATCGCACGACATTGTTAGGTGGCTCGGCGTCGGCGTCTACGGCCTACAAATTATACAAGTTTGGATTTATAATTCATCACCTAGTTTTCGGTCCAAAAAAAAGGAGTAAGTATGAATTATGAATCTCGTCTAGAAAATCGCGTACGAACCTTGATAAACGCTGGAGCGGTAAAATTTGATAAATCTCCGTTCAGCGCGAAATCGTAGACGGCTCTCTCGAAAATTGGCGCGTTGTCGTTGACGTCCAAGATATTGACGATCAAGGTGGCCACGCCGCGAAGACCCCGGCCGTCCTCGTCTCTCGCCTCGATCATCAATTCGAGTCTGGGCGTGCGCTCGCGATCGATGATGGAGCCCATCGTCACGGACACGACGCCGCTATCGGGATTGATCTCGAAAGCTGCGCCTCCGTCGCCGACGATCCTCACGTACTGAATTCGTCCGTACGCACCGGAATCTCGATCGGTCGCGTGAACCTGCGTAATCAAGAGTGCAATTTTTATAATCGATCCCTGGCGTGCACGTTTTTGTCTCGAAACAATGTTTTTTACCTGTATAACTTTTGTGCCAGGAACGGGATTTTCGGGCAGCGTCACCGTGTAAAGCGACACATCGAAAATCGGCGGATTATCGTTGACGTCGCGCAGAAATATCGTCACCGGCACCGAGGCCGATAAATCTGTCGCCGGTCCGACCTCCTGCGCTACCAACTGTAATGGATAAAAGAACATTGTAAGGATGACGCTGTTACTCTGACGAGTTTGGATTTGCGCATTTTCATGCTGTGGGCCAATTTAGCTTTAACTAACGTTGATGAATATTAGTTCACTGCTTGAAAATGCGTAAGCCCAAAAGCGTCGTTGCCATATTGCAATCAGTTTTGCGAAAATTTAAAATGATCAACGAAAGGATTTTGAAGCTTGGGTCGAATCACCTACATTAGTTTTTCAACGCGAAGGACAAGTTCGATGAGATTATTCCGACGAGTTTGGCCTCACACATTTTCACGTGATGTACCTCGAGTATTACTTCATCACGTGAAAGTGGGTGAGCCCTAAAGCGTTGTAGCCATTTCTACGATCAATTTTGCGATAACTTGGAAAGGCGACGGAATTACCTACATAGTATACAGTATTATTCGTGTTTACCAATTAAAAAATGATTGACTTTTCAACGAAAAAATTTTTAAGCTTTTGCCTAATTATTATTAGCTTTTCAGCACGAAGAACAAATTCGATGAGACTATTCCGACGAGTTTGGCCTCACACATTTTCACGTTGTGTACCATGAGTATTACTTCACCACGTGAAAATGAGTGAGCCCTAAAGCGTCGTTGCCATCTCTGCGATCAGTTTTGCGACAACTTGGAAAGGCGAAGAAATTACCAACATATAATCACAGAATTATTTCGTGCTCATCAACTCAAAAATCGTTAGTTACTCAACGAAGAAATTTTGCAGGGACAATTTAAAAGATCTACTTGGTATCGTTGTTGGTAATTTATTGAACTAACGAGTCAATAAATCGGCGAATACTTTTTAATCATGATATCAAGCAGATGGCGTCTAAACATCTATTTACGCAAAATTAATATTTCCTAAACATCAAGTTTCTAATAACTATACATTCTTTGTTAAATAAACAACATTATGCCTTATATTATTTGTTTTTTCATTTCGTTTTTATAAGTGAAACTTCTTATGAAATTGAACGAAAATGTAAGCATTAATATTTCAGACAATATTTATCGTGATGAGTGGTGTCATATTTGATCATTAGGTTTCCGATTTCAACAACAGATGGAGTATTGTAAACGCGTCAGTGACAAAAAATTATTCTAGGGGTAGGGTGGCGGCACCAGTGAATGAATGGATTCACAAAATTATGCTTATAATCAATTGATCTAAAATCTAAATTTGCATTAATTCCTAGCTTGCATTCAAATTTGTGTTCGTTAGGACTTATTTCATAAATAAAAAAATTGAAATACATGAAAAATAATATTTCATAAAGTTATAAATGATATAACTCAATAAAATGGGGTACCCCAGTGAATGAATGGTAAAGAACCAATCAATGAATACTCTGGACCCAGTGAATGAATGAATTATATTATGAGAAAGCATTGAGAGGTTGGGAATTTTATCGACATTATGTCCAGTTTTTTTCACAGTTTTTATTTTACTAGCACCTTTGTTCGTTTCGGTTTTAGCCATCGTTAATAACTAGTTTAAATTAAGTTAAAATTAGCCTATAATTAACGTAAATCTAAACGATGTACGCACTGCGCCCTGCCTGCATCGTCTGCGACCTAACCTCAAACATTGGCGGGACGGCAAAAATATTGTCTTTTCATTTACTGGTATCGCGCCATGCCAAGTCGCATTATCCCAGTAAATGAATATATTCATTCACTATCGACTCTTTATGAATTTTTGTGAAAAAGTGAAGCTAGTTTAACTAAAACTGATCATAGTATTTCAAACTTCAAGCATCAACAAAATAAAAATAATTTTTTGACATGGGTTAAAATTTCCTTTCATATTTTAATTTTAATCTTTTCTTGGTCATTCATTCATTGGGGGTCATTCATTCATTGGTGCCGTCACCCTATATAACCATTTTCTTTTTCATTTACTTTTTAGTATTGCTGTAATCTTCGATTATATTCGCGGACTGAACATGAAAGAATTTAGCATTCGATCGATACATATCAATTCAATTCCGCACATTTATCGATATTATCCTCGCTCGAGTTCGAGTAATGCTCACCGTGCAGCGAAGACTTTTGAATTTTTCGTAATCGATCAGCGTGCTGTCTCGCACCGTGATCACGAAGCTGGCCGATCTCTCGGCCACCGAGGGGCTGACTTCGAACGTGCCGTTGTTGTTCTTCAATTTCAGCGCGAAAACCCCGGCCTTGCCGATGTCCTCGTCCTTCACTCGGGTCGAGTACACGTCCGTGAACTGGATTATCGTGCCGGGCTCGGCGTTTTCATCCAGCCACGCCACGTAACTGCGCGCGAGGAAAAATTTTATTCATTATAACGCTGCGGCGCCTCTCGGAGAATATATGCATGTACAATATAGAAAACGTTTAATTTTAATAACTGACTTTTCGTTCTCAAAGTAAGGTGGATTATTTCCAGGTTCTCCGAGCAAGAGACCGAGCTCAACGATGGTCGCCTGAGCCGGTGGCTCGTCCCTCATCGTTCGTATCTCCTCGGCGACGATCTTCAGAATGATCGGAGCTCCCACGTGAGTAATCTTTGTTAATTCTTCCAATGGCTTGGCCAATGTTATTTCACCTGAGACAAAATTTCAAATTATGTACAGTATGTATCGTGGTTGGCACGACTGAGCATTTAATTTTCATTTTAAATTATATTCATCAGTGAAAATGCTCACGACGCTAACGAAGATTTTATGCAAGGTTTACTTAAAATCGCACTTAAGGCTCTATTCGACGGTAAATTTTAACACGCTATACCAGCTACTACAACGTTTTCCCTGTAACAACGATCGCACACGTCTAATTTTCCATTCTCGGGCGCGCGGCAAATCCTCGAAACCCTTGTATCATTCTGAATTCCCATAAAACTAGCAGCCTAGCTGCAGCTGCATTTGAAATAGCGCCAGCTAGTACGCGTCGCTGCTGCAGTTGTAGTACTGTACGCGCGCGGGGGGGGGCGGGTACATAGTAGGCTATACATGCGCACTTATACGTGTAACGCATTGCCGAGTTTCTTTATCCCTTAAGCGGCGTAACGCGCGCTACGCGAGTCGCTTATTATTAAGAAATGGCTTGGCAAACGAGTAGTCGTAATGGCACGATGATGTACTTTCCGTTTGGTTTAATGGCGTTTCGAGCCAAGTTGCGGATAATTAGATGCAAATTCCCACTGCTTGTATGTGATTAAATTTTCTTTTTCTCCTCTTTTCGTGGGGATTATATCGTGTGTATTACGTGTTCGCGTACCGTGTGTATATGCGACTGGCGAGTCCGAAAAAAAGAGGAAAATAGTTATCGCGTGCGACGACGTCGAATCTCGATACATTTCCCATGAAGATAAGGATAAAGGATAATCAGCTTGTATAGGTCAATCGGTTGCTTTATCAACACAGCAATTACTCATAACGACCCCGCCAAAGATCTCCTCGATCGACACCCTTGAAACTCGGCGAAAAATCACGCCGATAGGGCGAATTGCGTGCGTTAATCGAACGACAACGCATATACACACGATCCTGCGCCAAGCGTGGTAAAAGGACGATCGTTATCCTCTCCGCGGCTTAGGTATTACGCTCGGTGGCTCGGCTTGGCCGCTCGAGAGAGAAGATAACAAAAGTTATACGAGGATATCGCATGTCCTCGCGCACAAATGGAATACGATTTTTCTACTGCGGCTTATATGTGTAACGCTCCGCAACTCGCCGCAACTCGTATACACATGCATGTATACGTGTTATATGGGTACGTACGCGGAGCGCGCGATAAGCCGCGTAATACATTTGCGGTCTACGTACGGCCGGGCGCGTGCAACGAACGATCGATACATTTATACGAGCGAGCGTTAGCGAGCGAGGAACGCCGCTAGTTTATATATATACACGCGTCATGCTGTATCCCTTAACGAGCGCCGAGTGGGCCGCAGCTCGCGCGCGCTCGGTCCCTCTATACATGGCAAAAGCGTGAATTGCGCTTGACGTGGTTTTCGAGTGTGTAATTGTATGGATTGAAAATATAAAAGATTATTATTAATCACCGGTAGTTTCCGAGACGTTGAAAAATGTCGTGAACGGGTTGCCCTCCGAGACGAGTCCGTAGGTGACCTCGCGCGGCACTCCTTTGTCGCCGTCCTCGGCGTGAACTCGCAAGATGATGTCGCCCTGCGTCAAAAATGTATACATTATATTTTGGTAAACAATCGTCTTCCACGCGGTGCGATGCATTGGTTATTAAATACTCACGGGCTGCACGGTATTATTGATTTTCGTCAGCGGCGGCGCCAAGGTAAATACCGGCGGGACATCCTGCACATCCTGCACTATAACGACGACGTGACAGCCGGCTATGTTTCGCGTGTCCTTGCCGGGTATCGTGTAAGGGTCCTGTTAGGCAAAGAATTTGGTATATTATCAAACAATAATGGCAAGGAATGTGCATGAAAATTGATCCAGCTTACCGTCGCGTACATCGTGAGGGTGTACATCGACTGAGTCTCAAAGTCCAGCTCGCCGATGAGCGTGATTATGCCCTTCGTTTGACTGCCCATCTGTCTCTGTCTTATTTTAAATAATTCCTTCGGTTGCTGTGATAAATCGTTTGCATTAGTTCTCTCTCAATAGTAAAACTATTTATTTCAAAATTTTTGAACATCTCGGGCGACTTACCCAAAGCTCTATATACACTGGTTTTCCACTCCATGGATTCGACTCAACGAGGAGATAATCCAGCTCCTTTTCGGGTTTCGTGTCCTTGGTAATTGGCAAGAAACGATACGTTAAGGTAGGTTAATAATTAAATTACAGTCGCGAGGCTCGTCAATCACGTTCAAGATTCATATCGAATGAAGCTGAAAAATAATCACCTCGGGCACCATGATAAGCGAGGGAATGTGTGGAAAGATCCTATCGCGCGGCGTCGTCGAATTGGTGACGCTGATCGTCGCCTGCATCGAGTTCACGTCGCCCTTCGAGTCCCGCACGCGCACCACGAAGTCGTGCAGCCTGCCCGGCACCAATCGCCGCGTCAGGATCACGTTCGCCTGGCACACTTTGTTGTACAGGGTGCAGGGCAGATTGTCGATCTTCACGATGGGCGAGGTCGTGGCTGGAAAAAAAAGGAGAAAACATTTTTTACCGCTGCCTCCCCCCTCAAAGTTGACGATGCGAGCTTTTGTCGTTCGATTCGTACCGATGATCTCGAAGACGAGGGGAAAATCGGCGTCTTGATCGGTGGCGCGCAGACGAAAGACGACGGAGTCGACCTCGGCGTCGGCCGGCACCAGGACCATGCCCATGTCCGTGGACACGTCGAAGCGAGGGCGCGCCGCCAACACGCGGACGACGACCGACGAGGCGAGGAGAAAGCTCAAGCAGATCAACGTCTTGAGCCATTCTTCCGCCATTCGCATTCTGTTGGAAAATAGCATGTACATACCATACAAAGCGATATAAGTTAATTTCAACGAATCAACGTCGTGAACAAATATTTATGTTACGTAAAATCGAGTGTCACTGTCGTGCCATATACGTGCATTATTGCACTTATGACGCTCGACGCGATAAACGCGCGGTTGATTCGCCCATTCTATTAAATATAATTGCCACATCGGAGAGGTACCACTCGTCTATCGTATATAATATAATCGAGCGAATCCAAACTCGAACGTACAGCATATATAATATAAAGCGCGGTGTCAACGGCGTACATACCACTTGCCCATTACTATATGTATGGATGTATGTATGTATGGGGGAGTCGCGTCGGACTGCTGCTCCACATTATATTCACGCACGAACTATCCTCAGGCTTCGTGAGCGCTGACAAATACATCCAAGCGTACTGCTCGCACATTTACACCACTGAGAGAGAGAGAGAGAGAGAGATATGTATAAAATTCGACCTCGTTTTATACCCGCGCGGACACGTACATCTAGAGAATCGATTTATGCCCGGCGAATACGGAGCAATGCGTTTATCACGGATCTACATCTGGACGGGTCAGTCGCCGGAGCTGCACACCCAGGAGCGAACTTCCTACTTGGATATATGTATACAGCAGCTACCTCGGCTGTCCGAGAAGTAATTGCACCCGGACCTTATGTGCGATATAGACCAACGTCTACTGGGTGGGCTATTGACCTCCTTACGTAAATCGTATACGACCGAAAACTTTGGCCGAGTGTGTATGTGTGTCTATGAGTGTGCATGGGTTGTAATGCGCCCGACTGTACAGTCCGCACGAATGCACCTGTTAACTTGCGCCGTGCATGTGTGTATATAATGCATGCCGAAATCGTTGAAAGTCGCACTTTTACACGGACTTTAGCCTCGACCACATATATATATATCTGAAAACTTTTCATTCGTGAAGTTCTGGCGCGAATTAGAGAAGCACTTGAAAAGCTCGAGTACGGTACTTTGAATTTTGAACGTTCAATTATATTATTCGGAAATTATGTCATTAGGATCGCGCGCGGCTATCGTTCGCGTTTAATCTAAATTAGCTCGTTGAACTTTGCAGCCATGACTTTGTAAATGATTAATTCCACTGGGCAGATATTTGATCATTTATTACCGCATTCAAAACCCTCGAAACATCATTAAATTCAGCCCGTATTTCTATTTCAACAACCGCGTTATCGTGCAGGTCACACATAAATATTGACATTTCGCTCTCCGGAAATTCATCGGTATCAGAATTTTCGATTCGAGCATCAGATGATCGAAATCAGGAGAAAAATGCTCGATCGATCTGTAAATTCCATGCTTCAAAGGTTGACCTCGTTTTTCCTTTTAACACCGGTTGTGCGTTTGTCTACGCTAATCATGTACACAAGCCTTGTTTTTTTCTTCTTTACTCTATCTTTCGTACGCTCCACGTGCATCGTAATGTGTAGCTTTCCACGCGGCGTTTACTGAAACGCGTATGAGAGAAAAAAAATCTAGAGACTACACGCGAGAAAAAACCTGTGTAACTTTTGTAGGTCACTGAGCCGATATTCGCGTCGTAAGAAAATTGAAGGGTACGCGCCCGTATAGAGCGGATGCGCAAACACGCACATACCCATAGCGTATAGCAATGCTCGCTTTTAATTTCGAATAAGCATATGTGGAATGTATATCACATGCAACTCGTGCGCACGCTAAGCCATACGTAATCTTTTTTTTTTCCACGAGCAGATCTACCGCACGAGCTTTTCCATACGCTTCGCGTCTGTACTTTCAATCGTGCGCGCACGAATGTGGTTTTCATTTATAGCTCGTGCTGCATGCGGCAGAAGCAGCAGACGTGGAAAATCTTTTAATTAACTTAACTGCGCGCCGCGTTCGCAGGGGGTAAAGTTAGTCCGCGAGTATGGAAAAACTCGAGCGGGGGGGGGTACATAATGAAATTACGCACATTTGCGCGGCGGTGGTACCGTACGTATTCTCCTATATACCGAAGTTAAACTAGTTTGGTGATGCGAGGCTATGCGAATTCTATTTTCGCATTACGGTCTTTATGAGCTACTGCAAAAACAGTTGTTGCGTCTCTTCGTATAATATACTCCATAGAAATTACTGTGCAATTATTGTGTGTATAGAGTCTAATCTAGAGAGAAATAATATATAATCGTTGAGCTCCCATACGTCTTATCAAACAAGTTATTCATTGTCTACCGACCGAACCGATAAATCATTCTCGTGAAAAAGTTATAATTCAGAATATCATAGTTTATGAGCTCGTAAGATACATATGTTTCTATAAATACAATGAATATATACGTAATGGCGGTAATGCAAGCTCGAAATTGTCGTGGTACTTGATCTTCTCCTCGAGTATTGTATTATTCATCGGAGCGATTACATAAAAATTAACTGCCGGAATAAAGTCCAAACACTCGAGAGAGAGAGCTTAAATTCCTTCTCTCTTTGCATTTTTTCATAGTCCTTTATTTCGTACATACTCTTGTATACGTAGGGAAAGAATATAACCATATACTTCCAAGAACCTCGAAAAAAAAACACCAAGCTCTCTATGCGGGGAGTGAACGATGAAAATCTAAGGCTTTCGTGACCGAGCGAAGTATATACTAATAGTATACACGTTGAGGCGAGCGAGAAAGAGACTAAAAATTCATGCGTGACCAAGCCACTGTGTTTCGCGAAAGGGGGTCACACAAAAGCTTCCCGCTTTTCACTCGATTTGCCGTGTTATGTGTGTGTTTTTTTCTCCTTTCTTATGGATCGAATGTTTCACGTGTCGTAGCGAGAAATGCGTGAGTTTTGAAAAATAACTATTTATTTGATTGGATGATAAGAGCATGCCTTCAATTAATTTATGTTCTCGAATGAGCACGATTGATTGTAATTCGACTCGCATTAGTCGTGCAAAGCATTTCATTTCTTCATATACGCCGGCAAAATAAACAATAAACGATCAATTTTACTTCTGTAAAGTATTCGAACATTTATAGCACGTTCACCTGTAAGTGTTATCGACCCGTGACGAACAATTCTGCCTTTTTTACCTTTGAGCTTCACACTTACTGGTGTACAAATACAATGTACACATATGATATAACTGTTACAATCATTGAAAATTCATTCATACATTTTCTTTGCTCTGGGTTATAGTATGTAATCTTATGTTTACACTTTGAGGTAAGACATTTGTTCTATAATAAATGACTATGCCTCAAGTTTATACTTTTTATTTATAAATATAAAACCACTTAATTTGAAAGTAAAAATTAAAATATATTGAATCATTTTCTGATGAAATACCAAAATATGAAAAGGTGACAGCTTGAAGTAGGCTAAGCGACAAATATGATTTATGAGTCTTGGTACGTTAGTCATATTCACATACGAATGATTACGTTCATAACTCAAAATGAATGTTAATTTTTCTAGGGTTACAAAGTGCAATAATAAAATTTAGGAGTACTTCTGTAGCGAGTTTTTATAAATTTTTCCACCTATTAGACGTTTGATTTTGCTTAGCCAACTGTGAAGCTCATCCGGATATTTTAAAATAAATTGAAGTGAATAATGATCCAGAATGTCCGAATTTATTTTCGTAAATTGGCATTCTATCGATTTCTGAAATTTCAGGACTAGCCGGAAAATGTCTACCCAAAGTTCATGACAAGCACGTGTAATAAATCAGTGGTTAGTATCGTTAAATTGTATACGATTAAACTGAATAACAGACTATGCAACGGTAAGTTGTTTAGCATTAACATGTTTACATATAAATGTGTCTTCTTTGTCGCGAAGATGCGTTAAATTTATGTACTTGGAATAATAATTTACTCACGTACCTGAATCGTCATGCGATTTAACGAGTCTTCATAAGCATTTTTGTTGGATTATCATTTATTGTGAAGTTTTTTCCACTTTTTTATCACAAAAACGAGGGTGAAGAAAATAAAAACACCAAGAATCATTTGTAAAAGTTTGATGAAAACTTCGAAATTATTTCGAGAAAAGTCTGTAATGAAAACTATTATTTATCCTATGATTCAAGAGCACAAATATACAAACGGCTCACTTTTTCTCCAATGTTTAAGCACTTACTGCTTCAACCCATTTTATACTTTGAATAATTTTTATTAAGCGGCAATTGAACATTCAAAATAAACTTTTCATAAAAGTTTTTTTTTTACTAAAAAAATACTTAAATATAAATTGTCCGTATGAAAACAAGTCTTCGCAGGTCAGTCTTAGTTGAAGTTTCAGTCATCGTATTCCTCCTTAAAAACTCTCTGAATTCGAACTAAACCGTCGAACATCACACTTTGATTACAAACTAAATACGCTTCACTCTCGAGTTGATCGCTCGAAAAATTTCCCCGACGAACATTCTAATTTTCCGTCTGAGGACGAAGCCTAAATTCTTGCAACAAAGCACACAATGGCCCATCGGGCGGCGTGAGTATATAAGGAGCGCGGCGGCGACTCAAGCGTCCGTTCGTCGTGCGGTCAATCCGACTGACTGGTGGTGGGTAGTAGTAGTAGTAGTACCGTAAGCAAGGTGTATTCTACATGCCTACTGCTAGCCACTCTGGTCGATGTCCAACATTTTTCCCCAATCACGCGAGCTTACCGCCGTCTCTTTGCACCCACACACATACACATGTTGTATATACTAGCGTCACGTGGCTCGTGTGCCTTTATACATATTCTTACTACCCTCCCATGTTACGTACACACACATACGTGTGTAACACAACCGAGAATGGTAAAAAGCCTTGCAAGGGGGCAAAGACGCCGAGGTAGCCCATGCAAATTACTCGTGCCTATACGTACAATGGACAGGAGTATAGGGTAAGGCAGGAATGTAGGCCAGTCGAGTGCACGGACTCGCGCGAGATTAAATAACACGGGGCGCGCGCTTTTTTTTTCATCACTTTTTTGTGGAATTTTACGACGTTTATGAATACTTCGACCGCGTGTACGAAAGATTATATTTTGATACATTGTTATTCTTCACCTGTCTTGAGGTTTACCAACACGAAAAGTAGTCACGAGAATCTACAATTATTTCGGAGATTGAGAGTCATAGCGAGAAAATTCGAATTGATAAGGATTAATTGATATTTAAGTTTGTAACTTCTTAACAGTTACAAACGATCTATTTACTATTGTATAAAATGAAAATTATGTTATAAAAGTTTCTATCTTAACATCTGTTATCGCTGATAAAAAATGAATCGTCCAATGTCGTATCCCAAGAAAAAGTCTATAAAACTAAAGAGTTTTCGTTACTATTTTCTAACAACGACTTTCTCAACTCCTACAATATGCAGCATACACGGCGATGTGTATACTTAGGAGTTCGAGTCAGCGTCCGAGCGAACACACACACACACGTACACATACACGTGCAGCTCGAGCGAATGTGGGTTCAAAGGAAGTCACGACGACGAAAGGGTTGCGCGCACACGTATACGTATAGGTACACGTGTGTATACGGCCGCTACTGTATATACCATAGTGGCAAGAGAGAGAGAAAGAGAGCTGCTCCTCGGGCTCTGGCGCGGATTAGCATAAGGCCGCACGCGATCCCCATAGCATATGCGCTCGTGTGTGTGTGTGTGTGTGTAGGAGGAAAAGGTGGCGATAACGGCGAAAGTGGCCCTCTGCGCGAGCGACTATACATAACTCCCTCTCTCTCGGTGTACTCTCTGCAGCGTCATTATTATTGTGCGTGTGATATATTATGTGTATAAAAATGTTGGACTCGGAGCGGCCTCTGAACGTTGATTTTTGCCTTGGAGCATCGGAGGGAACTGGATTTTTCGTTTGTCGGGGGGAAAAAAAACAATCATGAGTTATTTTACATGAGATAAAAAATACTTTTTATTCGATGTCTTATAGCTCTTCGTTTATGTTGTACGTATTTACAAAGATAAATTCTATTATTCTATAGACTTGACTCTTGGATATACGTTATCTTACGCAATAAATTTAAATATACGTAATTTTCTCCGTACTTCATACTTTATAGCTATTTTATCTATAATGTACTCGACCACGTTCACTCGGTCAGTTTACATAATAATGATCTGGGCGACTTACATGAAAATATAAGTAGTATATACATATGATTTCGCCTTTTATATTCGCTCGCTCGAATGTTCCGTGTACATGACTTTTCTTGACCCAAAACTTATACTCGTGTTTAGGTGGAAAAAAATAAAGAACTAAAAATATGTACAAAATTTGGCTCGCATCTCTCTCATGCGATCGTTTCTTTTTCGGGCCAACCTTTGGCCCCTCTTCAAACGTCAGAGTTCCGTCGTTTCGACATTGTGCTCGAGCGGATTGTTCAGTACTTGATTATGGCCTCGATGAACGGGTGATACATTGCGATTGCTTTGATTACTCTGATTGCCGCTGTTTTCTTCGACCGTTTCGTCGGTCGTTTCTTCCAAAGTTGCGGATTCCACGCTGTAAACAAAATTTGGATTTTTGATTGTGATGGATTTATTTTACGACGACTAATAAATTAATGGCTGCGTACCTAAATATAGAGGTGATCCTTTGTTGGGTGTAATATGGTTTATCTTTTGCATTTATAGCGTTCGTATTTGCTTCGTTCATTGCGTCTTCGTTTATTACCGCATTTTCATCCAAAGAATCTCTTTCCGAATTATGACTGTTAAGTAAAAAAAATAAATTTTTTTATTCTATCTTTTTAAAAACTGGGAACTAAAATTAATGAAATAATGAACGTACCTTATTGATTCGTCACTTTTGAACCATTCATTTTCATATGCATGCATCCAAATGGGATTAGATCCTTCTACGCTGTGCTTATTGGTATTAGGAACTCTCCCAGGACCTCGCAAAAATTCCGAATCATTCACACCTGAAAGTCGAAAATAATTTTAGAATTTACGATTATCATCATTGAATGCATTGTAAAATTAGTTTACCAAAAGGCGTAGCATTCGCAGCTTTCAATTGTCTTTGATAATTCGCCCTCTGAGTCAAGCACAAGCCCACGCATATGATTAGAAGTCCAGTTAAAAACAATGTGAGAGTAGCCAACCACAGAGTAGTGCTGGCTTGCTCGAACTGAGCCATGGACTGAGCTTGAGCGGGCTGAGTGTCCAAAACATTGAATTCTTTGAACAGATCGTCGAGTTTTTCGATGTTGTGATCGACCGATCCCAAGACCTGAGACACCTCTAAAATTGAGTTATCTTGTCGATTTACCAGGTGCAGATAAAGATCCGTCCTTGTGCGATCCACCGATCCGTCGTGATTTTGGTGAATTTTATATTCATCCACGTTTACAATGGCACCGGTCACGTTACCGAGTATTCTGAAAAATTTTCGAATTTTTAAGAATCGAGTTACAATTTTGTTCTTACAATGTATTATTTTTTTCGTTCAACTCACTCTCGGAAATATTCGATTCGGCTGCGAATTTCTGATGGATGTTGCCGAAGAACAAATCTGACACGTTGATCCTCTCTCAGTAGATATATAAAAACTCTTGCAGTATCTTGAAGCCCATCGGTATCGTTTGCCAAAACCTGTTAATTGATAATATTTCGTAGATATTTTGATGATTATTTTTATTTTTAATTTATAATGTTTACCGTGAAGTCAAAATATCCTTTCATACCGCGCTGTGGATCGAAATTCAATATCACAGCGCCGGTATTTTCATCGACCAAAAACGGCGTCTCTTGAATGTTTTCGAAACCCTCGGTCAAGGTCATTTGCGTTTTGCCGATTATGTAATACGTTACGTCAGCATTGACACCTTCATCGGCATCGACGGCCTGAAAGCAATATTCAATTTATAAAATCGTTCAGATGCTGCGCGCACGATTATCGTTCGTTCGCTCGTAATTTATATACGCACTTTCACACTCATGAGCTGAGTGCCGAAATCCGTGTCGGTCGTCACACCACCGGTGAAAATTTCATTGACGAATTGCGGTGGGTTGTCATTGATATCGTTCACGTTGACGATCACCTTCAACAGCGTATCGTCGCGAGGATCGAAACCGTCCACTCGTTTCGGCGTACTCGAACAGTCCTCGGTAGCCTTGACGTAGATCTCGTAGGTACTCTTGGCCTCTCGATCCAGTATCGCGACAGTCTGTGAACCGTAACCGGATATAACGTCAATTTTTCGACTTCGGTGGTCGGTGAATCGAGCTCGAATGATACGGCGAAAGAAAAAACGGCAAATCTCATTACCGTGAGCTCGTGCGTTTCGTTGTCAAGGTCGAATGCTCCCTCGTCGTCGTCGCCACCGACGATGAAGTAACAGACTCTGCTCGGCGGATCGTCCAGGTCGTCGACCTCGTCCCTGTCTACCGTGTCGGGCAGCCCGACTCTTTCCAGGCTCGCTGGCTGCTCTTCCGTAAAATTGACCTTGTGCACGTCCATCGTGAATTGCGGCTCGTAGTCGTTGATGTTTTTCACGTAGATAATCAGATCGAGATCGGAGCTCAGCGGCGTCGGCGTGCCCAAATCGTAAGCCTCAACTCGGATCTACGAGGTGTACGTAATTTTAGTTGTCGTTATTTTTTTTTAGGTTTAAAGGTCAAACTTTTTTTGAATGATAATTGTTGGGAAAATATATTTACCTCGTATAGCTTCTGAGTCTCCCGATCAAGCGGCAATTTCAATTGAATCCATCCGGTTTTGTCGTCGATTTGAAAAGTTCGATAATGGCCCGCTATATCGTGTTTGAGCCGGTAATGCACGTCGCCGTTCATGCCGATATCGGCATCCTTCGCTTGCACTTGAATAACGTCGGTTCCCACGGTCATGTTCTATCGGCGAAAGAGCAAAAATTAAACTCTTGAACTTTTTATCTCGCGCCAACTGCTACTGCCAGCAGCAACAGCGATCAAGAAAGTGAAAGCGTCGATGAGTCGGCGAAAAGTAAAAAGCTCACCTCGGGTATTCGTACGGTCGTGTTGTGCGGCGGACTCGTGAAAACCGGCGCGTTGTCGTTGTAGTCCGTGACGCAGACGTCGAGCTTGGCGTAAACTTTGTTGGGCGGCACGCCGAGGTCTTGGATTTCCACTCTCAGCGAGTACGTGCCGAATCTACCGCGAAGGGATTCCGCGGCTTTCAAGCGAGCGGTCCAGTAGTCTGTTTGCTCCAGCGTGAAGTAACCTGCGCCAACGAAAGACAATTGTCAGAGAGAAAAGTTCTCGAGCGGGTTGGGTATAAAAATCGAAGTTTAAAAAATCAATGGGATGTTATATACCTCGCTCGTTTCCTTCGAGAATTCGTATCATCGTACGGCCGTTCGGTGTGAGCGGATTGTCCGCGTCTTTGGTCTTGATGAACACGATGCTATCTCTGATGTCGTGAAATTCGGATACGGTCGCGCACCCATCGGGTATCTCGACTTTCGGCACGTTATCGTTTACGTCGGCAATGGTTACTCTTAAAAAATAAAAAATAAATCAGTCATTTGTATAAAGATGACTTACACGCCAGTATTAAACAAAAACCAAAAATATACTCACTCAATTTGCTTGAAAGCATTGCGAGATTCGCCGGTCGTATAGCCGAATTGATAATTATCCCAAGCCTCGATAACGAGAACGTAGGAACTCTTTGCCTCCCAATCGAGCGTGTCAGCGACTGTTAACGAGCCGCTTTCCGGATGAATGACGAACTTTCCCTGTAAGCCAGGCGTTTCGAAAGAGATTTTCACAGTTAATTTCTCGTTCGGAAAAGTATCGCGAGCCGTTTTTTCAGCTTTTTACTAACTTTTGAGCCATACCTGTGAGGATAGTTTGTCGAGGAGGTAAGTGATCTTTCCGTACTCGCCGCTATCGGCGTCACGCGCCAAGATCGAAGCGATCTTCGTGCCTATTTTGGCGTTTTCCGGTACGGTCAGATTAGCGATGCTCGTCACGAAGTACGGATTATTGTCGTTTTCGTCGATCACCTGTATGAACACGTCGACTGGACTCGATCTAAAGCGTAAAAACAAAATACATCAATATAATTTTCTAAAACATACTTAAAATTCGAGGCTAAAATCGCCATCGAATTTTTCGTCATTTGAAACAAGCTGTGAACGTTGATAATTGTCTTGGGGAGACGTCGGAACTCGATTGCAGCGAGAAAATCGAAAATAATCGGTAGGTTTCTATTTCAAGACTATGAACGAATTTCGGTTATAACGGGATGGCCAGGAACTTGGATGTAATGAGCTAAATTAAAACTAAGCTAAATAGCCTCCTGCAGGCCTTCGCAAGAAAGAGTGACAGAGAGAAAAAAAATTTGACCAAAAATTTTATGTTTATGTTCGTCAATAACGAAATTGGGAAGAATATATTCAAATAGTGTGAAGGAACGAAAATAACTAAATTTAGACCATCATAAGTTCCTCTGAGATGTCAGTTTACTTTGACTAATGCATGTAGGATTAATACCGCAACCTATTGATAGATGGCTTTATTCTACTTCCCAAGAAACTCTCATACAAAATAACAATGATCGGGAATATAGAAGCATCAAATTATCGTAATTATTTAGCAAGCGAACAAAAAGTTTTGATTATTTTTCACGTATCGCTATTGTAGCCTCTAACTTTGAGGCCTTTTTTTCATAGAATTGCTCTGATACACGTAAATCCACGGAGACGAGCATAATCAGAAACAGAGGCGAATCGTGACATCTTACCTCGGTGGAGTGCCGGAGTCGGTGGCGCGAAGCGTGAGATTGAGCCAGGAGTGAACCTCGCGGTCGATCTTATTGGCCACGGTCAGCTCGCCGGTTTCCGAATCGAGATTCACCAGCTCGGCGATGTCGCGCGGGCTCTCGAGCGTGTAGGCGATGGTGCGATTCTTGTCGGCGTCGTCGGCCACCACACTGACGATGTGCGCGCCCCGCTTGCTGTTCTCCGTCACGTGGCGCCGATAGAACGCGTGCCGAAACTTCGGATCGTTGTCGTTCTCGTCCTCGACCACGATGTTCAGCACGGCTGCAAAATAATAAAATAATAACGATAATTCGTCGCAGAATAAGAGACGAACGTAATTTCATTACGTAGGATATAGTATATAGCTGCTATATATGCTAACCAGAAGCCGTTTGAACGCCTTTGACGGCGGCCAGATCCTCGACCACCAAAGCCAGCCTGATCGTCTCGACTCTCTCGCGATCGAGCAGCTTTACCACGCGTATCAGCCCGTCCACGGAGTTGAGCTCCAGCGCGGCGAGATAATCGTACTCTTGAATGCGGATTAGGCTGCCCTCCTCGTTGCGAGCTTCCGACGAGTTGGCGTCGATTATGTAGCGCAAGATCGGCGCTATGTCCGGGTCGTTGGCTACGACGCGGTGCACGTAAGCCCCGGCCTTTAGCGCAGCATCCGAACAAACAAACAAAGCAGAGGGCGAAAGCAGATTAACAAAAAGTAGTTAGTCTCGCGAGTAATCGCGTCGACTCTGATTGAATTGCATGACGAACACACACACACAGTCGAGAGAGAGAGCTCAATAATGCAAACTGTTCGTTTGAATTCTCGAGCTTACGAGCGAGCGTAGCAACTTCTCGACGAAGTCAATATCGATTCAAATTGTAAATTATTTATCTTTGCTATCTTGGACTCACTTGGGTGTTCTCGCGAATGGTCACCGTGCCGGGATCGACGAAGACGGGCGGCTTGTTGTTCACGTCGATGATGGTGATGTTGACCTGGACCTCGGCCGAGCGCTGGATCTCGGCGCCGCTGTCGATCGCCAGCACGCGCAAACTATACTTGGCCGTGCGATTGGACGTGAGATCCGGGTCGAGATTCGAGCCCGGCGCCACGCGTATCGTGCCCGTCTCCGGCTCGATCACGAACTTGTCGCCGGCGCCGCTCTGTATTCTGTACACGATCTTGTTGTTCGGCGACGAGAGATCCTTGTCCCAAGCCTTCACCTGGTGGCGAAATTATACACGCGATCAAGTTTCCAATCCAATCATAGGATTTGACAAAATATTTCAATAATAGTGCAAAAAAAACCTTACGTTCAATGACTCTTAATTAAAGGAACCGTTACTGAATTTTATATACTTTTGGATAAAATTAATAATTATAATTCATTTTTGGCCTGCACAAACACGTATGAAAAAACAATCATAATTAAAGACAGTCTTCGCCACTAGATGGCGAGTGCCTTTATGTGCAAATCTACAAGTGCCAAACTAAAAATAATTGTATATAAGTAAAGCATGATTTTGAATAAATAATCTGGCATTTTCATCTTTTGCTTTATTTTAATGGATCAAATAGAATTATAGTAGTAACTGGTTGTAATGTTCAATAAATCAATGTTAACATTTTTACCTGCAAAACACTCGTTCCGCCGGGTAAATCTTCCGGCACGTTCTTCTTGTACACGGCCCTCTCGAAATTCGGCGCGTTATCGTTGACGTCTTTGAAGTAGATCATCAGCGGCACGTCGGAGCTCAGACTCGGCGAGCCCAGATCTTTGGCTTTTATCGTCAGCCTGATGGGTCTCACGATCGACTCGGATCTGCCACCGGCCGATTTCACGGCGGACGTCGTCGCAAGCGGCAGAGCCTCGAAATCCATGGGCCTGACGGGTCTGATGACGCCTCGGCGCGGATCGATGCTGAAGTTGCGGGAAAAGTCGCTGGGCACGATCGAGTAGACGACCTCGCTGTTGCGCGACCCGTTGAGATCGATGTCGAAGGCCTCGACGACGAGCGGCGACTCGAAGTTCTCCTCGTTCTCCACGAGGACGGCCTCGTACTTGCTCTGCAGGAAGGTCGGCGTGTTGTCGTTGATGTCGTTGATGTTGACGATCAGCTGGACGGTGTTGCGATTGCCCCGGCCGAGATCGTCGCGCGCCTCCACCGTGAGGTAGTGGCGTGCGATCAGCTCGCGATCGAAGGCCGCGCCCGGCTGCCTCACGCTTATCACCCCCGTGAGATAATCCAAGTCCAAGCTAAAATTTACGAATTAAAATTACATATCATTAACGAAAGATCTGATCTGATTATTTATAATATACGCTTACGCGCTGGCCAAGCTGCCGCCGAGATTGGTGTATCTGATGCCCTTGGTGCCGTAATTTCCGCTGTCGTAATCGAGCGCTTGAACCCACGCCACAGTAGTGCCGACCTCGCAGTTCTCGAATACCGAGACTTCGTAAGTGCTCTCGGCGAATTCCGGATAGTTGTCGTTCTGATCCTTTATGTGCACCGTAACGGGCACCGAGCTCTGCTTCGCCGAGTTCGCCACTATTTCCTTAGCCACGAGGGTGAAGTTTACCGCTGCGTTTACGGAAGTTGTATACGTTATTACAATTTTTTTTCCTTTTTTTTTACAGTTCATTGATTATTACGCAATAATACGTACTCGATATTTTCTCAAAGTCGAGCTTGGCCGAATCCTTCACGCGAATCAGAAACGGCGCCTCGTTGATGCCCTGCTTCGGCGTCACCTCGAATATGCCCTGATCGCCGGCGATGAACAGCTTGAAGGTGCCGTTCGAGCCGAGATCGTGGTCGAACACCTCGGGCACGGAGTCGGCGAGAAAGTTCACGGGCGTGTTGGGCGGCGCGTTCTCGTTGATCTCCGCCACGTAGGCCGGGCTGCGAAACGTCGGCGTCTCGTCGTTCACGTCCATCAGTATGACGGTGACCTCGGTGGAGACCTGCGGCGCCGGCACGATCTTCGAGACCTCGCGCACCGTGATCTCGAGGACGAACGAGCCGTCGCTGTTGTCGGGCGCCTCGCGATCCAGATGGGCCGTGGTGAAGACGACGCCCGTCGTCGCGTCGATGTCGAACAGCTGGCGGGGGCCGCGTGTTATGCCGTAGGTGACCCGATTGTTGATGCCCTTGTCGCCGTCGATAGCTCGAACTAATAATAATAAAGATATAAATTAGAATATGTTACTGATTATTACAAAGCTGACGATCTGATGATCTTTATACCTTGCAAAACGGAGGTTCCTATCCTCGTGTTCTCGCTGATCCTCGAGACGGGCGTCATCGATATGAATTCCGGCGGCTGATCCTCCACGTCCTGAACCTTCACCAGTATCGCCGTCGAGCCCGTGTTGACCTTCTCGTTGATGGCCCGATCGACCGCCAGCACTCGCAGCTGATACAGGTACTTTCTCTCGTAGTCGAGCCGGCCGACCAGGCGTATGACGCCGCGGCCGTTGACCGTCGTGATGCTGAACACATCGTCGTCGCCGTCGAGCTCCTGCAGATGATAGACGACCTGGCCGTGGGGTCCCTCGTCGAGATCCGTCGCTTCGACGGTGGTGAGCACACCGGGGCTGGCGTCCTCGCGCACCGTCAGACTCGTCGGGTGGGGCTTGAAGATCGGCACGTTGTCGTTGATGTCCTCGATGAGCAGGAACAGGCTCTGAGTGATGAAATTGCCCTCGCCCAATTTGCCGTCGGTCAGAGTCAGTACCAACGAATAATCGTCTCGGACCTGTACGTGGGAAATATGTTTACCACTTTAGTTACGGTTATTACTTTAATGAATAGTTTACAGTAATTATAGTCTAAGACAACAATTAATTAGCAATAAAACTGTTTGATCGTTTCTAATGTACATCCGATTCAAACGCTTATAAAGGGGCTACGATACATACTTTCCGATCAGCAGTTAATCAATGAGATAAAAATCGAACACACACGCACAAGTAGTCTATAAAAACGCAAATATAATAGTATCAATTTGCTTGTATGCATTCATTCCCAGCCAACTGCCTCTACGCGTAGTTTTCTCATCCTTACACGAGATACAAGAAATAAAGTAAGAAAAAAACCAAAGCGGAAACGAAGATCGGGCCCTTTGTTCTGTACGCGTGGAGTGTAATATAGCTGCTCGTAATGTGCATAGTACCTATAATAACAACAAAGTACATCTCTCTGCTCGCGCGCGTGCGACCGATCTTCCTTCTATATATATACGTAGACTCTTGGCTGTATCTAGGCTGAGCGCCGTCGCGCGCGCGCGCGCGAGCGTTCGGTCGTTTACTCGAATCGGCCAAGCGTAAAGAAAAATCCTCTTTATGTATACGCGAGTGCTAAGACGCTTGATCAATTTATCGAGTGTATATTTTCAATTTTTTTCTCATTGCATATATTTATACAACGAATTGTACTATGACAAATTTTTCATTACCTCGCGATCGAGCGGTTTTTTCAAGTAGACCTTGGCATCGGTGCGACTGGATTTCTCGATGCTGATGACGTCGCTGCCGGGTTGATTCAACACGCCGAAAGTCAAATCGTCGCCGTCCGGATCGACGCCACGCAAATGATAGATGAAACTCCCTGGAAACAAAAAATCGATCGTTAGAGTGATAGATCATTCATCGTTCACGAACAACTCGAAGGGAATCATATTGAAAACGTCGATATTCTTTTTTTTTTTTCAACAAAAAGCGTATCGAAATACGTTCCGTGACAAATTACGCGCGTAGTGAATATAAACGATTGATCGCGTCGAGTCACGCAGTTTACTGCGCAGACGGATAAAAAGCCTATAGATACCGAATTCGATGATACTCACCGACCGGCGTTTCCGGGCCCTCCTTCAATCTCAGCACGATCTCCGTCTGGCCGCGATCGGTAAGAAAACGCGGCGGACTATTCGCTGCCGCCGCCGTCGGTAGCACGAGACAGCAATCCAGAAGGAGTATCAATGCCGTGCACGCGCGAACGGCGCTCACTCGGCGATGGCATTTCTTCGCGACTGTTGCTGCTGATTCGTAATCACGGGTCATGTTGACGTTGATGCTGCGCGATGCTTTGAATCTTGCGATCGATGCATCGTCTCGTATACTTGTTAATGGCTTAGGCGAACTCTCGTTTCGTGGCGCTGTGGTTATTATCTGAAAATTCATTGAAATAGGATTGATCCGGTGTTTCGAGTATTCTCTGTGTTATTGAAATATATGAGACAATGTTAATTTCTAAATTTTTATTAAAAGCAGGCTCCTTTGATGACAATCGTTGTAACTTTCATTAGAAACTAGTGGGAGGTAAAGTACTAAAACAATGTAGGGGAGAGAAACAGTCATTTTAACATAATTGTAGAGACAAAGTTTTCTCTTTCTCTTTCATTCTGCTACCTTCGCAAAAAATTCAGATGTTTAAAATCGCGCATTGTTTCGTTGAGCATCACTTAGAATCGTAAGTGAAATGACAAGCACAACGATTTGCGCTAAAAAGGAAATACGTATTATTTCGACCACTTTTGGATATAAAAATCAGTTATATACATTACGGCGAAGTTACAATTATCATGTCCATTCTCAAGTAATTATGTCTTCGGCAAAGGAACGCATATATGCTCGAGACGTAAATATCATTAAAATCTGACCTAGTAACTTTCGAATCACAAAAGTAATTCACTTGGTCGTAATTATGAACTCTCACGCACGCAAACAATTCGTAGAGGGAAATAAAGATATAAAAAGCAACGATCTTGATCGTAAAGTTGCTTATACAATGTAAGAATTATTACATCGTATCAAGCTTCTGTGAGTTATATATTACGAGCATGCCTATACGCGCGTTTGACAATGTAACAGTGTCACTTTCACGTTCGAACTTCTAGATTGTTTTGCGAAGAATCGGGTCAAAATCAAGCGAGCGAGCAACTTTTTTTTTAGAAACTGTATAAGGTATATAAACTTTTATGGACTCGCTGTATTATTGCTTCTATGCGCGAGAGACATCGAGAAAAACTGGAGATGGATGATAGTAGATCAAGTGTGTAATTGTGAAGCGATACCAAAAAAATTCAATATCCATTGCTTCTATCGTCGTAAGTGTTTTTTGCAATAAGATATGGCTTGAACCTATGTATTTATCCCACGCGTAACGTAACGAGGTTTCGTGCAGCAACGAGTCTCAGCGTACGAGGATTAAAATGTATAAACATTGTGTACTCATGGAGCTTCAATTAGAAGCATCATGTATACTGTACATGATATAGGATAGGCGTTGTGTAGCGCGGTATATCTTCCCATGCTATCACTACTACTGCTGCTGCTTACGCTGAGTAATTGATTTGAGAAACGAGTGAGATTTTCAGTCGTCGTCGTGATGTTCCTTGATGTATGGGCGAAATCATGTGCGAATTCACTAAACGCGCGCGTCGCATAAAAAGTTGCATTTGTGGCTCGGTGTTTTTAATTGATTAATTATATGGAAAATTGAGTTTCAGTTTGATTCTTCAATAAAAAAATTTTAGCTTATAAATATAAATGGGAAAGTTTAAGGTAAATTCGTCGCCTATTGCGCGCATTTCGTGCATATTCCGGGCAAACTAAAGATATTATGTGCTGTATGTTAAAAAACCATATTTGCAATCATTTTTGATACAGTTGGCCGGTTCTCGTAAAGTCGAATGGCCAAAAATAATTTTTTCTGCAAATATGTACAACTTGTTGTTTTCGATGTCAGGTTTGTCCCAAAAAAATTTAGAAAAGTTAGAACAAAATTTATCAAGGTGCTCTTTAGAATATGAAGTTCCGATTTAACCACTAGATGTCATGATCGATTCCAAACGCGAAAAACTGAAGTTCTGTACATAAGGGCCTTCCATTAATTGCGTAAGGGTGTTTTGCGATGTTTCCAAACCCTCCCCCCGTCATGTAAGTAGTTTTCCTGTCCCTCACAACATGTTGAGTAAAGAATTTTGCCCCCCCCCCCCTCCCCCCAAAGACCCTTTGGTTGTTTACATCATTAAGATCGAACTTCTTCATATGATTGTCGCAGATCTCCCACCACCATCTCTCAATTACTTCGTATCTCCACGAGCAAATAATGTGCATCGGAGTCGATCTAGTGTTTTTACGCAAATTCGCATTCACGCCTCGTCTCAACAGCAATTTGAAAAGTTCCCATGAAACTTGTCATAAACTTTAAAAAGCTTAACAACGATCGAAATGCTTCCATCGGTTAAACCTGTGTTCTCGTTCCAATCGGACATTTGTATTGCTGTAGTACGCTTACGTATTTGCTTACCCCTTCTATCAACGGGGTATCATCTATTTCTTGAAATTAATGTTTCTCTTGGAGTTACTTAATATTTTCGATATTCTGCCCATCTTTTGGCGTATTCTGACACACACACCGCAAAGTAGTAGTCTTTGGTAAAATAAAATATTATTTTTATATGTTATTCACTTGCCGCAGCCGACACTGTAATTTTTCGTTGCCTGCGAGAAGTCGTCTCACTGGAGTTATACACAAGGCACACTGCGTAGTTGTGTCCGTTTTGACGGCGTGTTAAAAAGTGTCTTTTTTAGTGCAGTTTACAGCACATACGAACGAACACGTGTAGCTCAAAAGAGAGAGAGAGAGAGAGCGCGAGAGATACAGTTATAACGGGTATAGGCTTCGGAAAGCGATTTGATAACCCGCTGACACACTCACTAAGATTCGCTAAATAGATAGATAAAAGATGCAGTATCAAAAAGCGTATTCACTCGATTGAATTACTAATTATCACTTTATCACACTGTAGCTAGCTTAGCTAGTATATACTAACTAGCGTGGTCTGAATTCTTCGAACGCCGAAAGGCTATACTGTTCTAATCTTCGAGTGGGCGCATGAATTTAAACTTTCGCCGACAAATGAAATTTCGGACAAAACAGACACAGTAAAATTACCATGTAAGAGCTACGCAGTCTATCATTGTCAAATTTAAAATTAATATAACATGATAAAAATGTCGACTTCCCTTAAGAAAACACACTCATAGTCACGTATACATACATGCAATAATATGTTCGCTGTATAGGCAGTTATACTACCAAAGTTGCGCTCGCTCGGACGGGCGGACGGAAGGACGCTCAGTTTTTACGGGTTCACCCCTGTTGCCAAACGCGATCACATCAAAAACTAAGAAAATCACTGGAGCGAGATTCTATGCAAGTTGAGAAATAAGGGACACCCCAATATACATTCGTATCTTACAAGTGTCGAGAAAGATCCTAGCCAATTCCAACCGTCACTCTTTGCGATTCGCTCATAGAGCGACGTCTTTATGTACACCCACGTCGAATGTACACCATCAACGCTGATGCTCGCTCACAAGCTACCTCTATGTATGTACGCCCTACATATATGCACATACTTACACACTACACACATGCACGCGCAGTTCAAACTTTCCAGCATACGCGAAAGCCAATAAATCCCAGCGCGCGAGCGCGTGTATGTGTGTGTATATACCTAGCCTAGGAAATCTCGTATAAATATATATGAGTCTCCGAGTACACATACAAGCTGCGCGAGCTGCTGCTCTCTGCACACTGACACGCGTATACCAGGCAGAGACTGAATGACAGCTTGTAAATAGGATTTCCCAGGGCAATTAACCAAAAAGGGAGTTCATCGCTCGGCTCGTGTATGTATAGACGCGTGTCTTTGAAGTAAAGCAGGCCGCGAGCTCGGTGCTGATACTCGCGCGCTGCGAGCCGGTTGCGTGATCAAATTTTCATTGTGTCTTTCGGGATTTTATATAAGTATCAACGATGTTGCGTTTATAAATCGCGATGCGCGCGGTCGCGAGTTTAGAAATCATCGCGAATGCACGTGTGCTCCCTGATTTAATTTTGCTTCTCTAACGATCGTGATTTTTTGACGATTGCAAGCTACGCTTATACTCGTGACTGTTTAGAGAATAATATTCGATCGTTGTTTTGAAACACGCTCGCGATAAACATACTGACGTATTAAAACATCCTTACAAAAAAAAAGAAAAGATCGATCGATTGCATCCCGCAACAACTTGGCTCGAAACACCAATGAGTCTGCGAATGATCGTACAGTTTGCGCTGCGAAGCTATACCGAGAGCAATTGCATCGCTGAATCTCGGCGCAGAACAATTAAGCGCATTCGCTTTCTCTTACATTACACATCGAACTTTTTTCTCGATCGAGCATTGGAACACAAAAGACCTATGGTAGCACTATTATACGAGTCCATAGACGATATAAACCGGGCCTGTGTTCGAGCGTCAAGATTCTGACGCGTATAATATACATCCGAGCGTAAAGTGACCGCACTGCACGGCAGGTATAGTTGTCTATACAACGTGTAGGATATATAATTGCGAATTCGAACGCGCATTAACCGTAGAGCTGAGAAAGCTTATACATTTTATGTAGGTATACATAATACGCCACCGTACAGAAGCGGAGAGTAAAAAAGAAAGAGACGAGGCTCGAGCGCCAGTGCACGCGAATCCTCGTTTATTTGTTGTCTGTGCCACGGGCTCGCACACACACACATACGTATATTATACCGGTAATCTTCTTTCGCGTGTATTACGCATACATTTGCGCGCGATCGTGTGAAATTTCAATTTTTTTCTCTCTCCACAAATCCGCGTGCATCGGTATATAACTTGTAATATCGACGATACATTTTCTTATGCGAGCGTGCAGTTTAAACCTTTTTTCGTTCTCTTTTTCTCTCTGTTTCTCCGCTTTTAACTCTCTCTACTTTTCTCCGTATAAAGGGCTACGATTTGATCGTTTCAAACTAAGCGCACGATTTTACCAGTAGCTTAACACGTGTATACATTTCTGTAAAGCTTATCGAGATTAACCTTTTTTTTCACTACCGATGCTAACATCGAGATCAATTAATTTCATTCGGGGGTGTATTGTGAGTAAGTGCTTGGTTCCAGAGTTTCGATTTTACACACGAACCAATCAACTTTTTACATTAGAAGGGCATCGGCTGGAATATTTGATATGCAATTTTTATTAATTGCGTTTATCGTTATAGTTTATATACTTTTTGAAAAAAGACTTTTTTTTTTTTTTTAACTAGCATTCGTTTCATCAACATTAATCGCATGATTCAACGCATATATTCTATTATAATCATATCACGTTTGCTCGGTAATGAAAGTTAACTTTATAATTTCACTTTTTTTTAAATAAATGTGCGCAAAATGATTCGAATTATCTACTCGAATTTCTCTAGAAATTATATTCTCGAGAAAAATAAAGCCGTGAGAAACTTCAATCAAGCAAGTCCTTAATTATTAATTATAATGTAGAAATCTCGGTGAAAAGTGCGTACGTACATGGCGCGATTTATATCTCAATCGAGCTCATTTTTTTTTCTTCCACCGCGCGCACTCCGAACTGCAGCCAATCGCCGTACACGCACAACGTGTCTATATTTTCACGTTGATGGATCGTAACCGTAGAACCGATGAAAAAAAATGCCTCATTTTTCCTCAACGCGCGAAGGCACGATATTGTATACCGAAGGCAAAAAAAAAAGAAATGAAAAATTACGAGATACACACCGCAGAATCAGCAGAATGTATGGCGAAAAAGTCGACGGCTTCGAGCCTTCGTGGTTGGTAGCTCGAGCGCGCGAGCCGCACGCGGCAAGGCCGATGCCCGGAAATACCTGCAGTCGCGCAGCGCGAATACGCTCCGTCTCGTAATGTACAACACGTCGTAATATATGCATCGACGATATGCGGCGATTATGATCGTATTACTTGAGCTCGGAACACTCGTTATTGTGGTACATAAGCTACATTCGAGTCGTACATTTTCGAATGATAATTAAAAAACTGCGATGGAGTGCGAGTGCAATTGTAAAATGTAAATAGTCCATCGAAACCGTTAAGAATAATGTTCAATATTACGTGGATTCCGCGGACTCAACGGCGCACGTAGCGACTATTGCCCCGATAGTGTTATTTATACATCTACGTGCGCCTATATTACGGCGTTTTCTCGCCGTAATTAATGCTGCTGCATATACTGTAACGTGTACTATTAATACGTGCTCTTTCTGTGTGAGCTTGTAATATTAATAACGGCCGTTTTCACGTGGTGTTTACTACGCGCTACGGCGTGAAAAATCTCGGGTGAAAATGTAACCTTAGTAGAAGAGCTCAACATTGTATTGCTAGTTGTTTACCATCGAAAAAATTTTTTGAACGTAAAAGGGCCACTAGAAGTTGCACATATATGCTCATTCAAAACATAAAAAAGTTCTTTTAATTTTTCAAATTTGCTGCTGACTTTACAATTATTCTTACTTTGTTACTTGCAGGTTTTTGATGGTAGTATCAGTGGTATTATCGTATTGAAGTGGTTAAAAACAAGTCTAAATTTTTCGAAAAAGTTTAAATGTCATTTTCAGGTTTATTCAAAATGTCTTGAGTATGAAATACTTGATCTGGCCCAATTACCATTCTTTTACGTTAGATCATCGTAAGCTCAATAGTGTAACAAATTTTATCCGCAGGTATACGGATGTACTCCTCTGCACATCATCTGTATGGTACGCCATACAAATAATTTTTTTTTAAGATAAAAAATAAACAAGCAGGAAAATCAAGGATATCAAGAGATTAGAGCGGGTCGAGTATGCGATCTTCCGAGTTTCGCTCGACTCAAGTCGAGGAAAATTCGACTACCCGAAAACATTCTGGTTCTTGCGCTCTTTTAGCGTATTTCAGTTTTCACTCGCACTGTAGCATAATTTTTTTCTCATATTTATATTTTTGATATGCATATTTTTTTTTATTTTTATTTCTCAATGTGTTTTGATCTCCACTCTGTAGACGTCGCTTAAGATTCTGCCTGCCTTGAAACTGTTTTCTTTGTATAAAATCATTCTTTTTCGAAATAGAAAATTGAAAAGATTGCAAATGTCATAATCAAAATAAAAAAAAAAACATTTTCCAAAAAAATTTGAGTGAAAGAAAAACAAGTTTACATTTATTTAAGCGTTGTGGAATTAATGCTACCTGAAGGGGGTAGGGTCTTGACTGATTTTTTTTTTTTTTTGAACGTATAGTAAATCGAATTGATTTATAATTATACACATAAACATAATTAATAGTTATTTGAAGAATATTTAAAATAACTAAAAATAAGCTAGTTACAGCAAGTTTTCACACGCAATGAAAAAATAATCCGGTGGATTCCGTTACTTAAAATCTACTCGACTTCATATTTTATTCACTATTTACGTAGATAATATATGAGATAATGACGTCGAGATAATTTAATTTTTTGCATTTTTAAATGCTTTTTACTAACATGTGAGATGACTTTTTAGCTTCATTTTTTGGACTTCGAAATTATATGCCAAAATCTCAAAAATAATTTATAACGAAATACCTCGGCGTCATTAAATCATATCTTATGTATTTAAAAGTAGAAAAAATTTTGAAAGAATCGGTCCAGTAGATTTTTAGCTACAGTGTCCACCGCAATCTATCTTTTTTCAGTTGTGTGAGAAAATTTACTGCGTAGTTAGCTTATTTTTCGCTATTTTAAGCTGAAAATTTAACGGAATGTTCTTCAAGTAACTATTTATAATAAGTATAATTTATAGATAAATACGTTTTACTATGTGCTCAACAAAATCGAAAACCATCGTACAGCAGACCCTATCCCTTCCTTGAATAACACTAGACACAAAAAAATATGGCAGATGTGTTTATCGTCACTAGTTTACAGATTGGATGTTAATCTTCCATCGTTAGTCAAGCCTCGCGCCTAGTTTCTCCAAAACTGACGAATAGTTCTTGTAGTTTGTGGGCTTGTATTCCCTTAACAATTTCAATGGTGTTCTACCTTCGATGGTCTTGGCATTGAACTCCACTGGTGGCTCCCTGTCTTCAATGATTTTCAAGAACTTTATTAAAAAAGTAGGGCATCTCATGCATATAATGTGCAGAGGAGTCCATCCCGTCTTATCGGCCAAATTCGGATCAGCGCCTGTTCCGAGAAGCCATTCGGCCATCTTCGTGTTTCCGTTGAGCAAAGCCACGGACAGCGGAGTCCGGCCCGTCTTGTCCCGAGCATGGATATTCACTGATTTCTCGATGATGTGAAGGATTCTCATGAATTCCACGAGATATTCGTCGGTGTTTTTGTTTCTCTGGCAAATTAAGTGCAGAGGTGTCGATTCGTTATTGTTGGCCAAATCGGGATTGGCGCCTCTCCTCAGCAGCAGTTCGACCGCCTTCGAATTTTTGTACTCCAAAGCCGCGTACAGCAGAGTTCGACCCTCGTTGTCTTGAGCATCGATATTCACTGTTTTATTGACGCTATCGCATATCTCGAAATATATCTTTATCGAATTATTGCTTTTGAAAGTCTAAAGTTGATGAATTTTACTGAGTTCAAGGTGCATAGCTGTGCATCTATCCTTATCGGCCAAGTTCGGATCAGCGCCTCGGCTCAGCAGTATTGCAGTTGCCTTCTTTTTGCAGTGAAGTATAGCCAAGTGCAGCGGTGTGTTTAGACCCTTATCTTGGGCGTTGATCTGCACCGTCTTACCTAATCTGTCGTTGATACGGAGGAATGTTTCAACTAAAAGGTCAGCTTGGAGTTGCTGGCAAATAATGTGCAGTGGTGTCGATCCTTCTTCGTTGACTGAATTCACATCGGCGCCTCTTTTCAGCAATATTTCAGACGCCCACGTGTTACTGTTTTTCAGAGTCAAGTGCAGTGGTGTGTTGCCCTTCCTGTCGCGGACATTGACCTGAACCGTTTGACGATTTTCGTCGGTTACCTTGAAAAACGACGCTATCAACTTATCTTTTTTGACTCTCTGGCAAATTAAGTGCAGAGGTGTCGATCTTTCTTGGTTGGCTGAGTTCGGATCGGCGCCTCTTGCCAGCAGTAATTCAAACGTCGTCACGTTGCCGCTCTCCACAGCCAAGTGCAGTGGTGTGTTACCCAAGCTGTCACGGACATTGATCTGCACTGGCTTTCTGTGGTAGTCGACGACCTCGAAGAATGACTGCAGCAATTCCACCCGACCATCCCGGCAAATAGTGTGCAGAGAAGTGGATCCATCGGTATCGACACAAGTAGGATCGGCGCCTCTTATCAGCAGCTCCCTGGCCCACTTCGTGTCATTTTGCAGAGCTGATCGTAACAGCGAATAACCATTTACAAAAAAATTAGGATTCTGACCGTTTTGGAGAAATTTCCTGACGAGTTGGTGTCCATTAGGGATAAAGCAAGCCGCCTGAAAATGGGTGAATCCTCCTTCGTCGGTGTAGTTCAAATCAAATCTGTCGTAGATTTCAAATAGCAACTGGACCATGTTGGTCGCAGTTGCATCCCAGTTGTTGATTTTGGTGCGCAAAACGAGATGTATCGGTGTGGTGCGACGCAACACGTACCGGCCGTCTGGGCCAATTTTGGGCTGGTCTCTGTAGCCGGTGTCAACCACGAATTTGATGAATCGTATTCTTGCCTCCTCGTCGCCCTCATGGTCTGTTACGGTGTGCGAGAGAAGACACTCGACGAGTCCGGCTGGTAAGCTTGAAAGATCTGGTAATGAGTTCTGCCACATTTGAGCTACGCCGTATAGGACATTTAAGACCGATCTGCGATCCCAGTCCCAATTGACGTTATGAATCCAGCTCTTCCACGCTTCATTTGCCATGTCTTTTGTGTGGCGTATTCAAGCACAACATGCACAGTCACTAATAATTTAAGATTGTTTTTTTTGCCACGAAAACCACACTTGCTGCGGTCGATATATGCGATATTTCTAACTGTTCACTAATACTGTGTGACTATTCACTTACTCTATATACGATAGATACATAGAGATTTACTGAAAAAATATATAGAAAAGCGAACGCGAGATATATAGGAGATACGATTAGGCCCGTGCTAAGAACGAGAATAAGTCGTTGATTTTGGTATTTATTTGAAATCATCGATCCAAAGTAACAGAAGCAGCTCGTTTGAAAAACATAATATAGGTATAGGTAATAACAATAATAGCACACGGCTGAATTGCCGCGTTTTCTCACAAAATTTAACGGTTTCTATTATAAACACGTGTGTCGCGTTCGACAGGAGAAAATATCGCGAGAAACACGAGAGATATGATGATATACGTACGACGCTACAAAGACGGGAAATTAGGCCGTTTCTGTATTACTAAAATAATGATTCTACAGTACTAAGTTATAGCAAATGAAATAGGAAATATACACTTAAGTTGTTTCACATTCAAACTTTCTGAAACAGTTAGCGATATTTTTATAAAATATACTGTTAGAACGTGAATCGGAACGGTATGCATTTTTGTTGTTACAATTTCAACGTTTAAATTTGAATGTTTAAATAGCTGCAACTGAGGAACTTTCGTGCGGGATTTTTTTTTGTGTAACGCTTGCTGAGAAACCATCGAGTGCAACAATGAATAAATAGTTTTGAACCCTATAACACCGTTTAAGAGTTAAATTGTTTTTTTTCAAGACATAAAATAAATTATCAGAAAAATCTAAGATACCTAGAGATTAAAAGTGGGTGAGTCTTTTCACTCGCACTCCTTGCGATGTGTGTATTAAGATGGATTTATAATTTCTCGAAGGGGTTTCCATCTTTCACTTCGAATGCTGTTGAAGGCTCGAGTGAGTTGATTTTGTGTTTTTTGGTACAAATCGTTTCTTTTTGACATAGAAAATTGCAAAAATTATAAATGCGATGATAAAAAACCACGAAAAATATTTTCCTAAACATCGAAGTAACAAAAAGCAAGTGTCAAATTCTAATTTCGAAAAGTAACGATTTGAACGAATAAACACAAAGAACGAAATTTCTTAAAATTATTCGAAAAGAACGTATGAATTTTTACCCCAAGAATCTGCAACAGCGTCTGGAGTGTGGAAACATTTTAGTAAATGATAAATAGTCAAGTGTGTTCGTAGCTAACTCATGGTCTCGATGTATGTGATGCCGGGGTAATGAATACATATCTTGAAATCTTTTACTTGAAATGATATCGAGCGCTATGGAAAATTTGTCCAATTTGAATAAAATCAGACCAAATTGAGTTATCTTCCCATTCTGGTTTGTCAGGCAATGTGACAGCAGACAAATCAGCTTCTCCATTGCTTGCAGTCCTCAAGCAAATGTCATATAACTTTTTGTTCTCGAGTGATTCGTTGTGGGCGATTTTACGGTACTTTAGTGCCCATCGCTGGAAAAATCCTTACGGCATTTTCTCGCACAGATGCAAATTGCCAACCCTCCGATGCCAGCCGATCGGATGCCAAAATTTTTCATCGCACCCGAACTCCAAGTAGTTGCTGTACGTGTGTCATGTGGCTGTCTCTTCAGGTCGTAGAGAGACAGACTCGGCCTTATCATTATCTGTCTTGCATTTCTCACGAACTCCTCGTCGTAGTACCAATATTTATGGTCTTCTTCCGTTTCGAAAAAGTTGTACCTAGCGAACAATCTCATAACCGTCAGGGCGTCGTTTGACTTCAGCTCGTATCCTTTGATCTCTCTATACGCTCGACGATAGCCATTGCTCCGGCTGCCAATCTCACTTTAAAATCGAGCAGAGATTCGTTGCGCGACATCATCATTACATTCCTCCGCCAAAATAGTCCGAAGAGGGAAAAACGAATGTAGACAGATCGGCGCCACGATTCACGAGTTCGTCGACCCTATTCGATGTGAGATTCGCCACGGCCCATTGTAGGATTGTATCCTATCTGACTCATTACCGAGTTGCTGATTGAAGTCAAAGAATAGCTTCGCCAATTGAACGTCGTCGTCGTCGCCATTCTTGAAAATAACGTGCAGAGGAGTCGATCCGGCTGTGTTGGCCGAATTCTGATTGGAGCCTCGGCTCAGCAGCAATTCGACCGCATTCTCGGTGCGTAACTCCCTGCATATCAATGCCAAGTGCAGCGGCGTGTTACCTAACGTGTCTTGCGCGTTGATCTCCACTCACTGACCCTTGTCGCTGATGATCTTGAAGAACGTTTCCAAAAATTTCTTGGCAACCACACGAATGATGTGCAAAGTATTGAATAGAATTTATATGTGTGGGTAATATTTGGATTGGGTGCCGTTTCTCGACAGATATTCGGTTCCCTTCATATTTGTTTGGCGTACCACGTACAGAGTCAAACCAAACGAGTTCTGTCCGTCGTATACCGGGAACATCTTCACCAAGTCGACTTCGATTATAAAAAAAAAAGTTTTGTTATTTATCATTTAAACTGTTTGAAACAGTTAGCGAAATTTCAAATAAGCTTTTTTCTAAAACATGAACCAGAAAAGGAATATAATTTATTGAAGACAAATTTTGCATTTTTTTACACTTTAATTATTCTAGAAAACGCATTTCATGACGGAAAATGATTTTATACGCTAAACCAATGACTATGTGCTTTTTTTTATGCCATAATTATGTTTGATGTGTGTTTCGATCTCTACTTGGTAGACGTCGTTTCAGAGTGTGCCCTCAGGTTGTGTTTTTTCGCATAAGGCATTCTACTTCTAAATTGAAAATTAAAAAGATTGCAAATTTCATAATAAAAATAGGGAGAAAAAATATTTTCACACGAAATTGAATTGAAAGAAAAACAATTTTTTATTTATTTGACCATAAATAACACTAAACCCCAAAAAATAAGGCAGACGTGTTTATCGTCGCTAATTCACAGATTGGTAGTCAATCTTTCATTGTTAGTCAAGCCGGGCGCCTAATGCCTCCAAATATCGCGACGCTTCCTGGTAGTTGGTGCGATTCATTAACAAGTTCAATGGTGTTCTACCATCGATGGTCTTGGCATTGATCTCCACTGGTTGCTGTCTTTCCGCGTTGATTCTGAAGAACGTTTCCAAAAACCAAGTGCATTTAACGCAGATGACGTGCAGAGGAGTCCATCCCTCTTTATCGGCCGAATTCGGATCAGCGTCTGCCCACAGAAGATCATCGGCCATCTTCGTGTTTGCGTTGAACAAAGCCAAGGACAGCGGAGTCTGTCCATCCTGATTGGTGACATTTGGATCAGCGCCCCTGCTCAGCAGCAATTGAAACTTACTTCTGCTGCCCAAATGCACAACCATGTGCAATGGTGTCCAGCCTTTGTTGTCCCGAGCATCGATCTGCACCGTCTGTTGCTTTTTGTCGACGATCTCAAAGAATTGCTGCATCACTGCGTGGGGTCTGGTGTTGCTAATGAGGTGCAGAGCAGTATATCCATTCTTATCGGCCAAATTCGGATTGGCTCCGTTTACCAGTAGTATCTCAGAATTTTTCATGCTTTTGTGACTTATAGTCAAGTGCAGGGGTGTGTTACCCTCCTTATCTGAGACATTGACCCACACTGGATACCCGATGGCGTTGGCGATCTTGAAAAATAACTTCAGCAAGTTAGAGCGACCATCCCGGCAAATAATGTGCAGAGGTGTCGATCCTTCTTGGTTGGCTGAGTTCGGATCGGCGCCTCTTGTCAGCAGTATTTCAGAAGTCTTTAAGTAGCCGTTCTTCACAGCCAAGTGCAGCGGTGTGTTACCCAAGCTGTCACGGACATTGATCTGCACTGCCTTTCTGTGCTTATCGACGATCTTGAAGAATAACTTCAGCAAGTCCAAGCGATTATCCCGGCAAATAGTGTGCAGAGCAGTGGATCCATCGGTATCGACCCAAGTAGGATCGGCGCCTCTTATCAGTAGCTCCACGGCCCACTTCGCATTTAGCAGAGCTGATCGTAGGAGCGAATTAGGATTCTGCCTTCGATTGATCATTTTCCAGACGAGTTGGTGTCCATCAGGGATAGAGCAAGCCGCCTGAAAATGGGTGAATCCTGCTTCGTCGATAAAGTTCAAATCAAATCTGTTGTAGATTTCAAATAGCAGCTGGACCATGTTGGTCGCAGTTGCATCCCAGTTGTCGATTTTGGCGCGTAAAACGAGATGTATCGGTGTGGTTCGATGCAACACGTACCGGCCGTCTGGGCCAATTTTGGGCTGGTCTCTGTAGCCGGAGTCAACCACGAACTTGATGAATCGTATTCTTGCCTCCTCGTCGCCCTCTTGGTCCGTTACGGCGTACGAGAGAAGACACTCGATTTTTTCGGGTCGAAAGATCTCTAAAAGATCTGGTAATGGTCCCTGCCAATTCTCGACAACACGATATATACCATCAAGGAGCAATCGGCGTTTTTCCTCTTCGCTCGCTCGACTGGCAATGCTTATCAAACTCCTCCAATCTAGAGCTTTCATTTTTATCGTTTTTCCTACTCGAGCACAACTCGCACAGTCACTAATAATTTGAGTTTGTTTTTCTTATCACGAAAACCACACTTGCTGCGGTCGATGCGACTATTCACTTACTCTATATACGATAGATACATAGAGATATTTAAAAAAATATATATAGAAGAGTGAACCCGAGATTTATAGGAGATACGAGTAGGCCCGAGCTTAGGACGAGAATAAGTCGTTGACTTTGTTATCTTATTGAAATCGTCAATCCACAGTAGCAGAAGCTGCTCGTTTGAATAACATAATATAGGTACAGGCGATAACAACAATAGCACACGGCTGACTCGACGCTCTTTTGTAATCGAATTTTATAACTTCGATTATAAACACATATAAAATGTGAAAAAAGTATTTCATTATTTAACATTTAAACTGTTTGAAACAGTTTGAAAAATTGCAAAAAAGTTTGTTTCTAAAACTTGAACCAGAAAAGTACTCATCTTTTGCTGGAGTTTGAATGTTTGAATGAAAGTTTGAATGTTTAAATTGCTATAGACTACAATTGTATTCTAATTCAGGAACTTTCGCACGGGGTATTTTCTTTTGATATTTGTTCAGCCATTGGCTCGATCGAGTAATTGCGCTTGAGAGACGATCGAAAACCCATCGACTCACTCTGTGGAGATATGAAAATTAACGAGTCTCTTTTGTATGACTAAGAGAAGCAATGAATAAAAAGTTTCAAACACTATATAATAACACTGCCTATTACTTATCAAACAATTCAGATAGTGGTAATTCATCAAAATAACCCTTGATCCTATATGCATATAAAATATTCCGTCTGACCCAATTACGGTCGTTTAGCGCCAGATCATCGCCAGCGCGACTCGAGCGATTATTCACAGTGTATTATCGTGGTCAATCGACTACAAAAAAAAATCGAATTTTATTTGCGGATGATTCGTGCCTGCGAACCCGCAGCCATCAGAGATAGAGAGTCATTGTACTTTCTTCGCGTCTTTCTCACAGTCTGGGCAGATTTTTATAATAATGTATATAATGCGCCTTGGCGAAGATTCGTAACGGATCGCCCGCGATCGCCGCCCGAGGGAGGCCTAGTGTGCAGCTCGGGTGCAGTGTATATATAATGCTATATTGTAATGCTATATAATGTAGTGTATAATACGAGTTAAAAACCATCGCAGCGGTGCAGCGCATCGGGCGCTCTCCTTGCCAACTCACTGTATCGACTGACTGAGCTACTCTTCTTCTTAGGCTCGGTTTTAAATGAACTTCTTGTGCTGTATATATATATATAGCATTTAATTAACCGCGCTTCGCCCGCGTGATTGTGGGTTCGCGATTTAACAGTATATTTTTTATAATTCGCGATCATTGCGGATCGTGCGGGCGCACGGCCCCCTCGGAATTTTTCTATATGCGAGGAGGCGACGTCCTGATTCGGGTTTGCGAAGATTTCGAATGCAAAGAGAGGATTGTACGGGGCTTTTGATCGATTGACGAAAGAATGGGACAAGTGCCGGGCGAAGACACAACGTGCGCATGTGAGTTGGTCAATCTAACAGATCTTATCCTTTGAATTGTTTCGGGAAAGTTTCGTCACGTTTCATGGCCACACGCGTTTTGCAACAATCCCAAATTTGAATCTGCATATTTATTGTTGAATATCCAATTGAATACCAAAAATTTTTACAGCAAAAACTGTACGTAGCGATCTCTTTCTCGGGTATAACTCAATCTTGCGCAAGGATGGCTCGAATAGGCGGGCGCGTATACGATGCGCGCAGAGTGCACAAGGTGTCAGAGCGCGCAGATATAGCGGTGATGCGCCTGCAGGAGGGAGCGTGTTCGTTCGCGTGTGTTCGCCAGCGCGCCCGAAAAGTATCCGAAAACTGCCTGCCGAAGCCGTCGCGCGAGCCGAACTTTATTAAGGCGAGAGGTGTCGAATTGTCAGAGCCAAGTCCGTACGTCTGTCAATAGGCATATCGCAAAAACTTGCCCAATTTTCAACTTTTTCTCTTTTTTTTCCCCGTTTTTTTTTTCATGCTCACTCATGCCGTCGTCGTATTTAAATGCAGATGCTTTTTAATAAAAAACAATGAAGGTGAATTTTTGTCTGGGAGAAAGGAACAACAAGGAGCCGAGGAAAAAGTTCATTGTTTCATCTGGCAATTTTCAGCATCGCTTCCTCGTTTATGAAATTTTTCGTTGCGACACCTTGCCAACGCGCGCAGTGCCTCATAATTAGAGCTAGAAGTAGTAGCATCACCCATATTCAGACGCGAAATTAAGCAAGATATTATTTATTCGAATAGATGTAGCGTGATCGTTTCGTTAACATAGTATAAATTATGCATTTTCTTACGAGTTTAGTTTGTCTCGGCATATCGGTATACGTTGCAATTTTCCAAGTTTCTGATTACTGTTTATTACAAAATAATCAATCGTTGAAATAAATGTAAACGTCTTCAATGAGTTCATTGTGTAAAATAACGCATTGTTCCCTGCTACGTATGAATAAGATATATTTCATTCGATTTCGACCACTTCTAAAACTAACTATAATTACATGTGCCTCTCAACAATTTTAAGCGCACATCCGACTTATAAACGAAAATTTGGCATCGGTCGAATTTTAACCGTATACTTATAGCCCATTATGTTCGAAATGGCTGATTGTCGAAAATATATGCTCCTGAATGAAAAAAGTGCATTTTGAAAAGAATTGCATTTAGCTGTACCGCGAGGCGTGTTTTATCGCGTTATTGTCACTGCCTGTATACACAAAAAAATAAATTATACATTCTTGAGAAGCACGCAAGCGTTTTCGCGTGTGTATGTGTACGCGTATGACTACTCGCGAGATCCCGCACCTGTCACGAGTGCTTTCCAAAGTTTATTCGGACCTAAACATAAAAAGATACCCACAGTTAGGTGTGATGTAGTTATTGCAGCGTATGTTTAATTTAAAGGACATTCTTATTCTTCAAAAATTTCTTTAAAAAATTATTTTTTATCGAGATGAAAAAATCGCAAAGATTAAAAATCGTAATGACGAAGAAAATTTCCTGAAAAGTTCAAGTTTTAAAAAAACAACGGTTTGAATCGCCGAATAACAAATAAATGTATTGAGATAGATCTAAGTATCGTATAAAAAAGTGAGTTTGATGCAAGAAAACGTACGTTGTGCTTTAGGCGACAGACAGCCGCTCGAAGTTTGAATAAAATAATGTTGAACTCATTATTTTTAGTAAGAGATTGTATTTATGCAGCTAGTCATGAACTTCAGATTTACCGCTAGATGTCGTAATCGATTCCAAAAGTGAAAAATTAAAGTATGGTACATATGTCCAGAAAAATATTTTATTTTACAACACTTAAGTCTCCTTCCCACGTGTTTATCGAATGGTCAATGATACGTGAAGATGCTTTGTCCGTAATGAGCTTGGAATTATATTCGAGCAGATCAAAACGTATAGTAGGGCTTTGCTTAGATCCTGACTGCTTTAAGATTGCAATAAATATTGATTGTCAGCATAAAACACGCTCGAAATTATATTGCATCGTTGCCACCGTGTATACACAATAAAATAAATTATACATTCTTGAGAAGCAGGCGGACACGCGCGCGAGTACGTGCGTATGTGTATGCGTATGTGACGTCACTCGCGAGATCCCGCACCTGTCACGCGTGCTTCCGAATAATACATTATACGTGTGTAGGGTAACGTGTAAAAATCCCCCGGTCGAACGAAGCCTTCCGTGACGTCGGCGGAAGAATCCCCTCGATATTTTTTTGACCCGCGTTTCGTATGCACCGATCAATGGTGCGCGCCCGAGTTTTAAAAAAGAGTTTTTGATACAGCCGAGCTAGGTCGATCGTATGGGCGCGATTCTTCACGGTGTACCTATCGTTAAATTGAAATTAAAATTAAGTCATCGAAATGCTATGATAAAAGAATGGACCGATTGTAATTTTAACGCAGCGATTGCGTCGACTCGGGCGTTTTGTTGACACGGAAAATAATATATAGGTATATGGGTGAAGCGTGCGGAGCGCGATAAAAAGTTCTTTGGACTCGACGCCGATGTTGTACGTACATTACTTTTAGCCACGGGGCTATACATACACACGTATAGGAAGACTCGCGCGCAAGTTCGTTTCGCGACTCAAAGGTGTGCATCAGCAGCGGCAGCGGCAGCAGCAGCAGCACGTGTGTGTACGCGCACGCGATGTTTATACAGAAGGTAGAGCATGAGACACATCTATGCTCGTACACACGAGAACGTCGAAAGTTAGGGAAAAGGCTTTCGCGTATATGTACGCTGTACACAATGTCACTCTGTGACACTCTGATGTATAGCAGCCAACTGCATATACATCTATACAGCGATACGCACACTACACGGAACGTTCAAAGTTTTCGTTGTTTCTCTTCGCGAACTATTATCGAGAAAAAAAAAATAAAATAAAAATAAAATCACCTCGTTAAACTTAGCTTTGATTAATAATTGTTTGGCTATTAAAGAGAACTTTTAACTTCTCTACCTTTTAGTTTTTTTGCGCTCGACGACGGATTTAATTTCGCCAACTGCGCGCGGCTTGGACGTTTGAGGATTTAATGCGCTCTGCAAGAATAGTAAAAAAAAAAAAAAATAGAAAAAAAATATAAAAAACGAACGGGAAAGTAAATAATAAAAGACTCGCTCCTCCGCGTCACAGAAATTCAACTAGATGGAAACATCAATCACAAGCTCGCGGGTATATAATACGCATCAAGGAAAAGTGTGACACGAAAGTTTCATTGTAATTTATAAATATCATCGTCCTCCGTGCACGCGGGCTTCGCGGGCGACAATTTCAACGCCGTAACTTTTAATAATGCGCCAACTCCTCGTATTTAGAAGGAAGCTAATGTACATCGGGCCGAAAAAATAATTCATTCGCCACTTCCCGAACTGATTTTAATTATACATACACATGGAGCGAGAGAATAATCCACACACGAGCGCGTTAGTTTGCGTGTCAGCGGTACATGACTTATGAATCGATATTTGTTGTGATAGAATAAATAAAAAATTGCACAATGTAGAGATGCGCGCGCGCGAGAGAGAGATTATCATTATTTTTATTCAATCAAGCAGAGTATCGTCGCTCTCGTTGTGTGTATTTTTCACTAACAATAGTGATATTTAAATATTTATACATCGACGATGCGTCTAGTGTTTGTATATT